ATATTAAATCTTCGAGACTTGTAGCACACATTGGAGAGAAGAGAAATCCGCATTGAAGAGAGAATTCAGTATGCCTGGGGGTAAATGGGAGTGTGATATTAACGGTGAACTTAAAGACACTGGCCATGAAAATGTGGACTGGATTCATCATGTTCATAATTTGGTCCAGTGGGGGACTAGTGAACGAGTTAATGAAGTATCCAGTTCCATGAAAGACGAGAATTTTCTTGAATATCTGAGTGACTGCTAGTTTCTGAAGAAAGTCTGTTTCATTGAGATAGTCAAGTGAGGAGTGAGGCAGGAGCTGTTATCTCTGGACCTGCTTAGTGTGCATCTGTTCCTTATCATCATGGTCTTCGTGGCCACAAACAAAATCCTCTTTCACCAGCCAAAGTATCTGGCGATGATGTAATTCCAGACTTCATAAATATGATAATAGAAAGCTTGTTTGTATCAGTCGGCCCTAATGCATACGTCAGCAAAGTACAGTCGACATAAAAGCTAATTATGTAAGATTATATGAACTACAGAAACTACTTCGTGTTTTCTGAATTGTCCAGAATACTTTTGATGAAATCTGGATATTAATTTCAAAATGTGGCTTCAAGTTGTGCTCTTTTTTCGTCTAACTACCGCTTCTTGAGGCCCCGTCATAGCTCAAGTGGTTAGTCGCTGGCTTCCCACCGCGGCGGACTGAGTTCGATCCCGGTCCTGGTCAAGTGGGGTTTATGTTGTACAAAGTGGCGCTGGGGCGGGTTTTCTCCAAGTACTTCGGTTTCCCCTGCCAATCTTCATTCCACCAATTTCTCCATCATAATCACCCAGGGCAGGCTACAATAGGCCAATCAGTGGCCGCCGTGCCGCGTGGACCCAGTTGGATTCCACCCCCCACTAAGCGAATAAAACTACCGCTTCTTCGTTCTACTTTTGTCAGTCATTGATTTTATTTAGGAAGTAAATAATTACACATTAACCACGCTCGGCCGGTCACGGTAGCCGAGCGGTCTAAGGCAGCACTGTCGCTCGGAAGCCGAGATCGTGGGTTCGTATCCCACTCAGGGCATGGATGTTTGTGTGCATTTTTCTGTGTTTGTCTACAGGTAGAGGCCTTGCGACGAGCTGATCACTCGCGCAAGGAGTCCTACCGTATGTGTAAGATCTAGAAAAACCGAAGTGATCGGAGAAGTTCATGGAGGTAGGCCTAGGCCCACTGGGGCTGTAGTGCCAAGGAAAGAAAACCCACGCACGTTCAATAATTACTAAGTTTCAGTTCAGTATTTCAGTGTGCTACAAGTGCTTGCCCTGGACGTTTATTAGTGACAAAACTTGTATCCTCATATTCGCAGTGCACAAAGGCAACATACCGAGCAAACGATCAGCTTGATTCAAAACTCAAACTTCGAGCCAGCTGCGACAGTTAAAGTATTCCTTCGGTTGGCGACGCAGATAGAAATACTCTTGGTCGTCGACTTACGACCACAAAAAAATGGGGGAAAAAACGAATACAATGTAAAAGTTTTTTAAAAATAAATTATAAAGATGATAAAAATATTTGAAAGGTTGGAAAATACTGTTAATAAGTATATGGCCGACATACGACCAGATCGACTAACGAACTGTCAGTCAGAACGGAAGTCGGTCGTAAGTCCACGATCAAGTGTACCTGGATGCAAAATATTGTTATTGCAGCCAGCGGTTCATTTTATTTGAAACGCCGGTAGCCAAGCAGCAGCTCACAAACCCAAGGGAAGTCATTTCCCATGTCCGAAGAATTTCAGTAAGACAGTTTAATTTTTGCCTGTTTTGATCTAGACTTAGCATTTTTGGCTGACGGGGGTGAGTGAAATATAACAGTGACTCACTACAGGTTCTTCAGGCAAAACAATCCCACAGAAATGCACACAGGAAGGTCTGAATGGAAATGTACTGGGTATATATGTAAAAGTAAGGAGTTAAGTTGTCGTTGTGTTTAATTAGTTAAGCACTACGTCACGAAGACGTATGAGGGAGTGGAGGTACAGCGCTACCATTCGTGGCTTCGGCACTAGATGGAGGTGAGTGAATAGCTCCAGGCCCCTGCCGCTTTACCCTAAGGAAAGAGCTCCCGGTACCCATTGCATAGGAGGCTGAATCGCCTCCAGAGTCCGTCTGGACTCTGTCAGAAGAGAAAAAACCCTTGCCTGGAATTGAACCCCGTAGCCCGTCACTGTACCAACTGAGCCATCCCTACTTCCCACTGAGCATGTATGTACTTTCATATAATCCAAAAATCGGAATTAAGCAACATTGAAACTGTGCCCTTAACCACGTAGGCCTATATTTATCTCTGCTTGCTTATTTATTTATCTCTACTTACGTACTCATGGAGCTGAGCCCTTCTTGAGGAGCCACCAATTCTGCAGCTACTCAAGAATTTCCCAGCATTTTATGGAACCCGAATGTTCATTACCGTGTTCGCAAGAGCCCTCCACTGGTCCCTATCCTGAGCCAGATGAATCCAATCCATACAATCCCGTCCTCACTCTCTAAGATCCATTTTAATATTATCCACTCACCTACACCTTGTTCTCACCTTGGTCTTCTCAGTAGAAAACACATTTATAAAATTTGCTGTTGTAACTATTATTTTTCTGCCTATATCAACTTTTGTTACCGAAGAAAACTATTGATATTCAGCTAGTGTACTGAAAGATTATATTATTACAGAAATTTGTAAAATATGTTACTATTGATGGCATAATAACCGTTGCAACCGGTCTCCTAGATCGCACTAGATCTAGCCGGTGTGCTCTGAGACTTCTCAGGGTCGTTTTACGGACAGTGGCTAGGTCCGCTTAGTTTTATAAATTCATTAAAACGCCTTTTTGACACCCAAATTCGAATTAATTTATTTACGATTTAAACAGTAGTCGCCACAGGGCTGAGAGTGCGTAAAGATCGGCTATTTAAGGTTCTGTGTAGCTGTTTGAGTAATGAATTTAGATGCTAGGGGCCGGACAGTATAGTTCAGGCCTTGTGTGTGTGTGTGTGCTGAAACGCAACTGCCTTCGGACTGGCATTACTCGTACTTGCTGAATTATGGAGAAATCTCGAATAGGTTGGTCAGGCTAGATAAGATTACTACCCCAACACAACAGCGTGGGGGCAGCGACCTTGGAGTTATTGCGAGTGTCAGCCCGTCGCGCCACTTTCCCTGCAGAACCCATCAAATACCGGTTTATTGTCGGTGTATATCCTCCTGAGGCGAAAATATACACATCTGAGAAAATCTCCTCTCCCTATCATGCCCATGGTAGTCAGTTTCACCAGGAAAAGATGTAGTAGCGTACGTAAAATATATTGATTTATTAAAATTATAACAGGCCGAAAGGCGAGTGATTCCACCGTCTACAATGGAAAAATCACATGGCTAATGCTCCGGTTTTATATTTTCTTTCAGAAGTTGTTCTGTAACTTCAATAATTGACAATCTGATATAGGAAATGCAAATTGCGTATATCTTAACATAAAAAAACATATCCTGTACCAAGGAAGATGGGTAAAGGTAAAGTTGTCCCTGTGCTTAATTATTAGGGCACCTTGCTATGAGGACGTATGGAGGAGCAGAAGTATAGCTCCACCATTCTTGACCTTGGCACGAGGTGGAGGTGAGAGGTCAGCTCCAATACTGCTTTACCTCCGGAAAAAGAGACCTGGTATTTATTGGTCAGGGGGCTGGGTGGGTTCCAGAGCTGATATGGATGCTGTGGGGTAGAGAAAAATCTCTTGTCCCTGCTGGAAATCGAACTGTAGCTATTTAGCCCATAGCCCATCACTGTACTGACTGAGCTGTCCCGGCTCTTAAGGCATACAAAGATAGGAAAATAAAGCTGGACACTTTTTTAACCTTGGGAATAGATGGTGGTATATTTTGAAGAGGGGTTAGAATAATCCCACCTAGCTCTGAGAGTCTAGAATGCAGTGAAAAGGGAACCCTGTATCTGGGGGTCATACATACATAGACCTAGTCCTCAAGGTTAGAGGTTGGATAAAAGCTGATGACCTTGCTCTGTAAAAAAATTACTGTTGTGAAATCCAAAGAAATGGAAACCTGATTGTCTAATTCACAAAGGAATAGACAATTATGGCAGGATTTTCTAAGACAATGAACTAAAAATGCTTGTTTTGGCGTTGATGATGATGATGATGATTAGATCTTGAGTTCCATTGTAATGCCATGACTTTCTCTGAGGAAAGAGTTCCAGGTGCTCATTTTACAGAGGCTGGACCATGGGCACCAACAGAGGGGATCACACTAGACATCTTACACACATGCACATGCACACGCACATGCACACACACACACACACACACACACATATATGTATGTATCAAATATTAATATTGACAATTGAAATTGCTTCTGTCCTGTATACTCCTGAGTGATCAGTGAAAGCAAACTGAGACTGCATAAGTAGAAATTTGTAAGCAAATTTTCTGGCTACCCTTCCTTGGAAATAAACACTGGTGACGCCCATGAGCTGACCATCTAAGTATCATTGTAGGGAAGACTGTAATGTCACATATGACCCATAGCCCCTCAGATAGATATAATATATTTATGAACATGTCTGCCAACATTCGATTTGTTGAGTTATAAATTACCAACATAACAGAGGCATTTATCAAATAAATGGGTTCATCCTTTATGAGTACACATTTCATCCCATTTACTTGCTTTTATTCCCCCTATTAGTGTGGAATATTTTGTTAAATTCTTGTCTTTATGCATTTCCAAATTGTACATTTCCAAATCTTCTTATTTTCTTTGTTTGAAAACTGTTGAATTTAAGGTGGAGAAGGGTCCTTTAATTGGTGTTCATCTACAACATAATCAAGCAAAACAGAAGAGTTTAGTTTAAGGCAGTTCTACCAACACTGCAGTCATTTTAGATGCTGCATATAAATGAATAATATTTTTTATGATTTATTGGGAGCACATTTTATGGTTATTGTTGCAGGTGGTTGATAACAATGTGGACCCAGAATGGACATTATTATATTACCTGAGGAATAAGTGTATCCTTTAGTGTGAATGAATGACTTTATTCTATTCTTCTGCAAGGTAAAAAATATGGAAATATTTAGTAATTCAGAGTTAGGTAGGTACAACTTTTAGGCAAAAAGTAACATGCATGCTGAATTCTATAAATTTGAGTAGTACTATGCAAAGAAGGAATTGCAATCTGGCTTCACAGGAAAGGTGATATAATTGCCTTTCCTACACTGTAATTGTTCAGAAACTGGTCTCAACTGTAACAGGTTTCGTCAAGATTACTGAGGTTTTGGAATTTGTCCATTGTCTGGTATTCTAAAAATGGAATATTTCAGAAACTGGATCTGTTTCCATCCTCATATGAAAGGATGGGAGGCATTTACTCCCCTGGGTCCATTAGAAAGAGTTAACCTTATTCACTAACTCTTTCTAACTGAATCGGCAGAGTACTTGCCTCCCACCCTTTCATCCAAGGACAGAAATAGATCAAGTTTCCAAAATGTGATATTTAAAATACCAGATGCTGAACAGAGTCCAACAACTCAGTAATTCTGAATGTTTTACATCATTGTTAGAACCTTTTAGAACTGAAAAATATCAGTGTTTAATTTGAGGTTGTTATTGCAGGTTTCTTATTTTGCTTACTCTTCAACATGAAGATGGAGGCATTCTTTTCCTCTGAAACAATGGGGTATCTCTGGACTACACAGCATTAGAACCCATAAGACCATACTCATGAAGGCTTTAGTCTATTAAGAATTCCTAGAGTTGTATGTAAATATTATTAGGGTGAACAAATCAGGAAGGATGAGATGGGCAGGACATGTGGCATGTATAGGAAGGATGAGAAATTTATGCAGAATTGTAGGACAGTATTGAACTGGATCCTGAGGAAGTGGGATGGAGGGCGTGGACTGGATCCATATAGTGTGGGATAATGACCACTGGCAAGTTCTGTGAACTTGTATTCTGTAAGAAGTATGGAAGTTTTTAACTAACTATACTTCTATTAGGTTCTCTCGAAGGGCTTTACTCCATGAAGTTAGATGGTTCATTCAATTTTATCTAGAATGGACAAATGGATTGCATAGGTCTACATGTTAGGAAACTCGGAATTTTATTGAGCCTATGGCTTATGATAGAATAAATATTGTTTGTCCGCAGCAAGAACATCAGATGTTGCATATCTCAGTTTTAGTAAAAGAAGGGTTGAAATAAATCAGCCCTGAATTGTGAAAATTGAAATCCCGATGCAAGAGCATTGATCAGCCCATACATTTTTTCAGAGTCCAGTCATGTTAAATTTGCATTTCAAAACAATAAAAATGGTCTGGTGGCATATGGAACCATCTTATGCAGTGCCAGTAAGTAGGTTCAAATGTTAGGGTTAAGATATATTTGTGAGGAATTCTGCTCGCACAGCAAGACACAACATTACAACATTGCATTAGGTTTAAGAATCATGATGAACGATATTTCCTTAGCTGAATTCAGTGCGTCTTTGTGGCACAAAGCTGGGCTGTAGTGAAGGAGGATGTGGAGCCTGCACTGTCATGGTCTCCAGGTATGATCGTGTCAAAGGAAAAGTTATGTATCCTTTAAAAACACCAATGCCTCATTAAGGGAATTTTAAGAGTACAAGAGATTATTAATGCCATCCAGTGTGGTTGATAAATGTTGTGCTTTTTTAATCTCTCATCCTTTACATCAGGCCTGTCAAACTCAACTCGTACAAGGGGCCACCTCAGCTCTATAAATAATAGTCCAGGGCCGCACTTCAAAATGGAAATATACATTAGATTTTGATACAAGGAAATTTAATTATATTTATTATTTAGGAATAATTTCAATATAATTACCTAAAGTCACATATCTTACAGTTTTAAAAAGCAAGAGAATGCCATTTTTGACAAGTATCAAACAGCTTTTCAATATGTAAAAAGAGAGATTACACAAGAAATTATGTTAGAAATAGCAAAACATTGAATTTCCTGCAGCCTGCTAATTTATGTCTGCGTGAGACTTCTTGTCTTCTGGTCTGTTGGAAAATTGTATTTACATAAAATTTTTCTATTAAAATGTTAATATTGATTTTAATTTCAATTAGGTCTAAAAGTTGAGGGGCCGCATGTTTGACATGGCTGCTTTACATGTTTTGGTCATAATGACCATCTTCAGAAGGACATTATCAATACATACGGTAACTGCTATTACAATGTCATAGATATAAAATGCATATTATCCTGTAACATTTACAATGTGCATGAATTTGTTAAAACATTTATAAATTATTATAATTAGTCAATTTAAAAAGTATTCTTTAAAAATTCTTTTGTTAAAATCTAGAACCAATTTGGTTCATGTCCTTTATACTCCTTCTCTTTAAAGGAAGATGAATGTATGCCATGTCATGGTTCCATTGTTTGAAGAACAGGACTCTTTAGTGTCGTTGTCCGGTTGTTCAGGCCACACTGTGTTGTTATATGTTTCATGAACATGAATGTCATTACTGAATTGTCAAAATGGATCCATATTTACGTTTATCAATAATATTTTATTCTAAATTTTAATTTAAATTATTCTGTGGGATGAGCCAACCTTATGATAATCTTGTAGGTCGAAACATGTAATTGGATAAAAATAAAGTAACCCAAATATTAAACATTTTAATATCGGTTTATAATGTATGTATGTAATCAATTGTTGTGTTGGTGGCCCTGAAGTATACCTTTAATACATGATATACAACAGGATGTAGAAAATAAAGATAATTTAGAAACTAAGACACTATTATTACCATATGTGACCTATAAGGTAAAGGTAAAGGTATCCCTGTAACAGGCCATGGAGGCCAATAGGATTGCAAGATGTCGGGGCTCCCACATTTTCTAGACTATCGGCTCCTCAATGGTGCTGAGGTTCTCAGCCTTATGCTCCGGCCNTACACCCCCCCCCCCCCGAAAGATTCCTGGTAGTCATTTTCCTTAGAGGCTGAGTCGAACACAGGGCCATAGTGCGGCTGGAAGGATTAGGTCAATTTAAAAATCCAATGACCTCATCATAATTCAAACCCGCATCCTTCTGGCTTGTGACATAGTGCCTCAACCAACTACGCTGCCATGCATCTCTATGTGACCCATACATTCCTATTTCTGACAAACTACTGATGAAACATGGGACATTAATATTTTCCTTTTAAAAGTTTTTAAACAGATGGATACAGCAAGTTGTCAGTATGGCTGTTCTTGTTGTTGTTTTTTTTTTGCTTTGTTGACAGTTGATAAATTCGACTGATATGGTGGTGTTATCAGTAAAAATAAAGGTTACTTTCTTTGATAGTCTCCTATAGTTAGCCCATATGACCAACAGCATATGCACCAAAGATGAAATTCACTGCCTTATGTGTTCACATGTTACACCCCAATCTCTACAGTACAGCTGTACTAAATTGAATCTCAAAGAGCAGTCTTTCTTCTGCTTTTCATTGTGCACCTTTTATGAGAAGTATTGACCAAGGCCTAGAATCCAACTCATAAGAACCATAGAAGGTATAAGATATGCAGGATGATATTTATAATTTCTTCAAACAGTAGGAGGTCTGTCGAAAAATTCTGACTGCATAGACTTTTTGAAAGAATAATTGAGTTCCACAACTTCTTGTTTTCAAAGGCTGTAGGAACAAATGTGGTACCCTGAACAGTGTGGTCTAGTGATTACACTCTAGACTTGTATTGAGGAGATGCGCAAGAGATATATTCCTGAGATAATTGTGAATAAGGTTATGGCATCTTTTAAATACTGTACGTACTTCTACGCGTCTCCAAGTATAATTAGAATGATGAAGTCAAGGAGGATGAGTTGGGCAGGATATGTAGCACGAATGGGGGAGATGAGGAACGCATATAGGATATTGATTGGAAAGCCAGAAGGAAAGAGACCACTGAGAAGACCAAGGCATAGATTGGTGGGTAATATTAAAATGGATCATAGAGAGATGGGATGGGATGGTATGGATTGGATTGATTTGGCTCAGTATAGAGACCAGTGGAGGGCTCTTGTGAACACGGTAATGAACCTTCGGGTTTCATAAAATGCTGGGAAATTCTTTGAGTAGCTGCAGAATTGCCGGCTCCTCAAAGGGCACATCTCCATGAGTAAGTAAGTAAGTAAGTAAGTAAGTAAGTAAGTAAGTAAGTAAGTAAGTAAGTAAGTACTGTGCACAGTTGGAGTGCAGGAGCAAACGTCATGTTTCTAGCCTTAGCAGTTTATGTTCTACAGCTGTACTGCTTTTGCCATAATTAAACACATATTTTCCCCCAAGACAGGAGTGCTTTTTATTCTGTTATGTAATATGGGTACAAACGAATTTATATTCACAGAACATGGTAACTTCAGAAAGGACACATGTAAACCTTTCAAAGAAAATACATAATAATTTATTGTTCGGTGTTTGACTGTGAATAAGCGAAATCATGATTAGCAAGTTCAGGATTACAGAGGACTCACCCATAATTATTTTCTCTTTTTTATGTTTCAGCTTTTATTTTATTCAGTAATTTATTGTGTTGTTTTTATAATGCATGATCATGATGAAAATTAGTGATTCAGCCATTTACATATTGCAACCTTAACAAAAAGTCACCTGGCAATCAATGCCTGTTTGGCACCTGTGGCCTCCATGCATGGGCTTGCTGTCACAACTGTGGAGGGCATTGGTAGCACCAAGACACATCTACACCCTGTGCAGAAGAGGATAGCAGAGGCTCATGGCTCACAGTGTGGTTTCTGCACACCAGGAATTGTTATGTCCATGTACACCTTACTCAGAAACTTACCCAAACCCAAGATGAAAGACATGGAAATAGCTTTTCAAGGTAATTTATTTTGAGTATACTTTCTCACTTTAACCACACACATCATCACTGTGACTGTTTCTATCCAAGACTGAGATATTCCTGCTGTTCATTGTGCAAGACATCATCATCTGCCATTACATTTGGCAACGTTTTACTTTATAAAGTTTTAATTTTTTTTTTATTTTATAGTGTCAAGTTCCTTAGAAGTATGATGTGAAGTGATACTTGACTTTTACTCCATCATATTAAGTGTACCATTGTATACTGTTCCATATTTCATGGTCTGTAAATATTCATGCTGCCAATATAGCCTAGCTGTAACCTCACCGTACTCACTTTGATCCTGAAGATGTTCCTCCAAAATGTTGGTATCCATTCACAAGACTATATGGTCTTGCAACCCAGAAGAACACAATCTCAACAGCCACAGTCATGAAGATCTCAAAATTTATGGTGAAGTAAGGTACATGAAACATGATATATGCATACCCATACCCATTACCAGACTTGGTTCATAGAGAGACATAGTTACGGAATCTCTCATGTATCATGTATCAACTAGAGCTGGCTTAGTCATATATAAAACAAAAGACTGATTTAGTAATTCTAATGTTATTAATCACAGTTGTCAAAACCATAGAGATCATATAGTATCAGATGAGATGATCATGTATAGTTAGCACATAAGGATTTCAGAAGGTGATGATCATGGCTCATTACAAAGTGCTATTCTAGCATTTGCATCTAGAGACTGAGAAAAACCAAGAACAAATTTAGTCAGCATTGCCTGTAAACACTTAGTTTCTTCTGAACAGTTCATACCTCGCAGGACATTACATCTCTGCTAGAAGATGAACCAGTTAATGCAATTTAGGAACACAATTGCCGTTTACTGTGAGAAACATATGAAACATAAAAAGACATTCTGTGGGCGGAATTCAGAGTTTCATTACATTACGTTAAAGCAGGTTCTGCATATAGAACCAATGGGCTTTGAAAAGTTAGTGTCAAACAGAATAAAAAGGAATTATTTTACATAGCTGTCCCTCTGTAACCTTTGCAACATTTCACTTTATGTGAGATTGAGTTTCACATCATCTACTCTGAAGATTGGCACAGCAGATTCTTCCAAAACATTAATTCCTGTCTACCAAATTACATGAAATATCCTAGAAGACTCTAATTACTGTATAATATAGTTTATAACACAACAGTGGAGTATTTGCACTATTGATTATTAATTATAAAACTATATATAGGTGCAGTAAATGTGCACTATCACCAGTGATGGATGGAGAATGAGAAAGACTAGAATTGGAAATTATGTGTAAATTTGCTTCAGATTTGAGCATAAGAATGCACAGATATGCAAACTGGATGATTCAGAGTGAGCAAGATTTTTTATTTTATTTTTGAGGGGAGTGAAATAGCAACAAGATGGCAATAAATAATTAAACAATTTTTTATATTACAGGCAATTTGTGTAGATGCACTGGCTACCGTCCAATTATTGAAGGGTTCCGTAGTTTCACTGAAGACTGGGAACAGAGCCAAGCTATGTACAACAACCACCTGAATAATGGGATTAGTAATGGTAATGGATGTGCGAAGGGAGACCAATGTTGTAAGAACAAGTTTAATGGTGTGACAGCTAATGGTGGCTGCACTGAGGATCAAGCAGTGCTGTTCAGTAAGACAGAATACACACCATATGATCCATCACAGGAACCAATCTTCCCTCCAGAACTCAGGGTATGTACATTGTTCTCTGTAGGAAAAGAGGATCAAGTGCTTAGATGTGACTGGGAAATGGGCAGGAGTAGGGGAGAAAAACCTTGTTTCGCACTTTCCTTCCATTTTTGAAGTTGCCTACACTCAGTTCTGCTGATTCATGCTCCTATGTGGAGACTTACGCATTCTTCTCATCATATAAATTTCTTAAAATCTGATAATGAACAACTCATATTTATTGTTGGGTGTATTCATATTCTATTAATGGAGTCACTTAAAAGGCAAACAATCATGATTCAGAATGTTTGCCAAATTGATTTTCAATAAATTTCTTTATCAGTGACTATCTTCATATTCTCTTAAAGGAATCAGTTAAATGAAAGACAATCATGAGTTCGAATTTTTGTGAGTTTCTTTTTAACAAAACATCTTAAACACATCAAAATAATTTACCAGTAAGGGTTAAGTTTTCTAAGAAACAATAGATCTTCCAGGAATTCAGAATAACATAAAATTAGTATAACTGACATTAATGAACTGTTAACACAACTTTCATAATATATATTTCTTTTTACCTGACTTTCTTTCTTTTCAAATCACCATTCATTTCTTTTTATTCTGCTATTTCAACATTTAAACCAGCTGACCAATTTTCATAAAACTCAGTATGAATATTTTTCTATTGGGGGCTGCATTGATGTCATACTTCTTAATTTCCTACTTACAGTAATAACAGCATCAAAGGTGCACATACTTGTGAGGTAAAAGCAACATTAGCACCACTTCACTTTAGGGTCCTGAATTGATGAACATTGATGAAACCTAGAAAAATATTTAACTTTTATTAATACCTTGTATTATTGTTTTGTACACACATATTTTCCACATGCATTCTTTTGATTTTATGATGGCCTTCAAATTTATTTGTTACTGACATATAGCAGGACAGTCACATTTTATGTATTCTACTTATTAAACCTTTGGCTCCCAAGCCCCACCAAAGAATGACCTGATTAGCAACTCCAAGGTTGATTGGAAATAAATAAATATGTGCTCCAACACATAGTTATGAGTATATAGCACTTAATGTTTTTTGATGATCAAAATGCACTCTACATTGTTAAAACAATCTGATCTCTTCAGCTCTGGCAGTTTAACTCAAGTACATTGAGCTACTCCAATCAGCTTGTGACATGGAAGGGAATAAATGTGTTATCTCACTGACTTAATGTGTAAGATATCTGTTTGAAAAAATTACACACATTTACTTCAGTAATATCCTCTGTTTGATTTTGGTTGCTATATTCCATCACCAGTCATACAACATAATCTTTGACAAATATTACTTATATACTGATTTACGTTACTTTTCATGTCTTTTTGGTAAATCTTCAGTGATCAGAGCCAAACAGTAACATATGTATCACATCACTACCATCATCATACTTCCATGTTTTAGTTATGCATTTTCTCCAAGAACAAAAAAGAAAAATGAAGACTAATATTCCATTTGCTTGAGTCACAAATACAACTCTGTTGTTGCAAAATAGTCCTCACTATACAGAGTCAGAAATCAGTTGTTATTGTACTAGTATATTATTAGAGTTGGTCATACTGAACAGTATTTCAGATAAAAGTTTTAGATGTTAATGATATACATAGATATGTATAAGGTGTTTTTATGATGTGTTCTTTTTAGAAAACTGATAAAGTTTGAGTATCAAGTAAAGCAGAATTTGTATTTGGCTGATACAAGCCAGAATTAAATTGGCATGCAACATTGAAAGTAGATGTTCGGTACTAAATTGCATTTAAATGCATCTAGCAGCTTCAGAGATGAAACATGCATATGGATGGACGTATGTGATCTCATTACGTATACATTCTAGGAGACTTTTGCAAAGAATGGATTCGAATGGATGTTGAAGGTAGAGATGTAGGTCTGCGAAGTTGATCAACAGGTTCAAGTTCACATGATAAAAAGTGAGGCAGTTTTATTCAAGTTACTGTTGATTGTACTGATGGTAAAAGTAGGTAGATGTACATAAATCCTATTTGTTGAACATGATTTTGACTTGCAGATGAATTCCAGTTTTGATTCTCAGTTCCTAGTCATAAAGGGGAAGAGAGCAACATGGTACCGCCCTACAAAGTTAGAGGATCTGCTGTACCTGAAGTCAGAATATCCTCATGCTCGCATTATTGTTGGAAATACTGAAGTAGGTGAGTTACACAGAGATTCCTCTGTGTCTTGTGATGATCATGAATGTTCCCTTTTTTTAACTTATAATCCAACTTGGATAATAATGCAACAATATTCATTTCAGTATACACTTACAGTCCAGGATGCAGATACTTGCTGGTCAAAATTTGAAATACCTGTGCTCATCTCACACATAAGGCAGAGCAAACTGTTAAACACCATGATCTTCCATTTGTCAACTACATTTTTCACTGTAAAGTTTCTCAGTATATTTCATCAAATTCTATATGAGCAGTGTCATATGTTGCTTGATTCATACTTTGCTGTGCAAATTGTGATGATATATTATGTGCTGATTGATGTTTTAAGGACCAGATACATGCACAGGGTAATAATTTGTATTGTGTCCTCAGTGTGAGATAAATGTGGCGTTGGATTTATTTTGATGTAAGAATAAAATTATACAAGAGTTATATTGCTTTTTTCCCCGTGAATACGAGTATAAATGGATGACATAATTTTATTTTGAGGTGCTGTGTGCTGTAAGTACTAAGGCAAGGATTAACACACAAAGATTTTCAAAGCAGAACTTGGATATGGTGTACAAAAATCAGAATTAATAACATATGCTGTTGTGCTGGAGACTGAATTACCAGTACAGTACACTTCAGTGCAGTGTGACAGTTGTAACATAGTAAAGCACCTGAAGATGGCCATTTTGGTCCGAAACATGTTGTGTTGAAAGTGAAAGTGAAAGAGAAAGAAACAAGGAACAATTTGTTGCATTGTTGATGGACTGTGTAGTACATTGTGGGGTATGTCTTAATGTGTGTAGTCTTGTCATTACTCCTATGACAACCCACTTCTTCGGAACAGTTTGTTGGCCCTGAAAAGGACCGTGGTGGCTGAGATGCTTGACCGGTGAGGTAGGGCGGCGCGCGCCGGTAAGGAGAAAGGCTAGTTACGGTGAATGGCTGTTGAAAAGGCTAGTCATTGAGCGCGGTCGTAGGAGCCACGAGGCAGTGGCTACGCCAGATGCCCAGTGAGTCGGACCGTAACACGACCACCGGCGAATCCAGGCGCGGTGCCCCAGTGAGTCGGGTGTGAGAGCGCCGGAGGGCCGAGGCAGTCGTGCCTGGCGCAGCCTGCCAATACCTCCGAAGACCGAGCGCTGGCGACGAAGCCTGCTGGCTGAAGTTGCTTGCTGTGTGGCTTGATCGTAGACTGCAGTCGAACTGAATGGAACTGAATAACTCGGCTTTGGAGTCGCTCCTTTTTATACGCTGGTCGGTGGGGCGGAGCCAAACTCGAAAGTGAGGAGGAAGAATTGATTGGCTAGCGCGCGTAATGACGTAGATGTGGGCCAGGAGCGATCCCAGTATAAATATGAACGTTTGAAGCAATCAGATTGGTTAGCGCGCGTGATGGTGAAAAGTGATGTGAAGAGCGAGCATTGCAGAAATGCGCGATAATGTGGGATGTTCCCACAACATAAACAGTTTTAGATATAGTAATGCAACAGCATGCTTAAATAGAGGATTAGGTTGAAACATTTAGTTAAGTTATTCTTGAAGACTGTGTCTTGAAATAGAAACCTAAACAAGCAAAGTCAGTCAGAAAAACTTTATGAACTTTGTTACTAGCTGTTAATCAAATTAATGTATGGATATATATTAAGCATTGAGACAATAGAATTATTTGAAAGATTCATAAATCAGAACTTTAAGAAAATGACTATTGGGGAGACCAAGGTCTAGGTACAGATAAATGAAAGATAAGAATAGATAATGTATTTTAGCGTCCTATTGCACTGATTTTCATCCATGATACATATGTAATGGCCGTCTTGTAGTGCACTCAATTTCATATGTCGCTTCTTACTACATGTTTCGGCAACATAGTGCCATCTTCATGTTCGTTATTTACGCTAAGTTATTACATTGTTTGCCATCTTGTGTCTTTCATAAAATTATTTAAAAAGTACATTATTTGTCAACTATAATAAAATTTGTATATACTAAAACTTGTTAAGAATATTCATCTATATGTCTAAATTCAAACTCGCGTATAGTATGGTGCGTCCACTATGGGAGTCGTTGCTGTGTGTACTGTGTCTGTGATGTGTCCTTCCTTTTTGGCTGCGAGCCAGTGTCAAAGCAATATTTAAAGCCTGATGATTATATGATAGCACTAGAATATGTAGCCATGTTATGTTGTATAAAAAAGCATATTATATTGATGGTCTTGCCACGAGGCGAAAAAGAGAGGATCACAAAATCTGACCTGCATGCACCTTTCATCCTATCAAAACACTGAGACACCCCCATCTCTAAGCAACCACAAGAGGCTGCATCACCTAGCATACCTAGCATCATCTATCATACCATCTGTAATATTTGGGAACCCAACTGGTTGATGAGGAGGATTGAGGTCATCTGTGTAGATTCTAGAGCCTACCCTGTGGATGAAATTCCTACAAAATGGTGTTGGTAGTAGAGAGAGTGAAGTTCAGTACAGTACAGTGAAGTACACTCCAGAGAGCAGAGTTGGAGTGAGTGAGCGCTATTGTGAACAGTGGTGTTGCTGTGGTACTGTGAAATAACAAATTAAAAAAGAACTCTTCTCATGAGCATATGTGGTTGTACTCAATGGGACAGTAATTGTTCCATGTATTGGCAGCTGCTACAATTAATTTTACTTTTTTCATATTTAATAAAGAAATTTCAGTTAGAATTATTATTACAAGCCTGTCCTAGTGGGATTGTCAGTAGGTGGTGGTGCTGCTGCTGCTGCTGCTGCTGATGATGATTGTTTCCTTTGCAGGTGTAGAAATGAAATTTAAAAATATGATATATCCAGTCCTCATCCAGCCAAATCAAATTCTGGAACTAACATCTGTTGCCACATGCAGTTCTGGGCTTAGAATAGGAGCTGCAGTCACTTTGAATGACATGCAGCAGGCTTTAAGGAATGACATAGAGTCACAACCAGGTACAAATAAGTTAGTGTAATATGTAAACAGTATGGNAATTTCAGTTAGAATTATTATTACAAGCCTGTCCTAGTGGGATTGTCAGTAGGTGGTGGTGCTGCTGCTGCTGCTGCTGATGATGATTGTTTCCTTTGCAGGTGTAGAAATGAAATTTAAAAATATGATATATCCAGTCCTCATCCAGCCAAATCAAATTCTGGAACTAACATCTGTTGCCACATGCAGTTCTGGGCTTAGAATAGGAGCTGCAGTCACTTTGAATGACATGCAGCAGGCTTTAAGGAATGACATAGAGTCACAACCAGGTACAAATAAGTTAGTGTAATATGTAAACAGTATGGTTAAGTCCAAATTTTAATACAGATAAGTCAACGGCAGCTTCTTCTGTTCTTGTTAAGATGAGTGATTGAACTGAAAATGGTATGTTTCTTTTACTGTTTTCTCAGGCATCACTTTGCTCAATATTACTTTGTGAATAACATATTGTAGTATATAATGTAAAATTTTACATTTCAGAACACAAGACTAGAATTTTTGTGGCCATTGTCAATATGCTGCACTGGTTTGCTGGCAAACAAATAAGGAATGTTGGGGTAAGCTGTATAATCTTTTCAGGTGAATGAAAAGCAGAATTAAATAAAACAAGCACCATTCAGTTAGTAAAGCAAGCAGACAAGGATCATTCCCTGTTTTGATCTTTTGGATTATGTTGCCAAATAATCTGGAAGATAGTTAACAATGTTTCAGAGGAACATATATCCTCCATCATTGGAATTGAGATGCTTTGTAGTCTGGTACATGGTTACCAATGCTTAGGAGGAACCTACTGGGTTAGGTCTAGATAGTAAGTTCCTCCAGAATGTTTTGGTAACTACCATCATCATAATGCACAAGACCAAAATATGAATATTCACCACATTGACACATTTAGATCCCACATAAGGATTCTTTCAAATCAAAGACTTCTGCTGAGTTGATACATTTTGGAAACAACCTGTGCTTATGTGTTTCTGATATGCGTTGCAGGCTGTAGGAGGAAATATTATGACATCAAGTCCAATTTCTGACCTCAACCCAATCTTCAATGCTGCAGGGTGCCAACTGGAGTTACATAGTAAAGGTAAGAACTATGACTACATCAAAATAGTTACATATAGGACTTTTTTAATACTTGTTATGTTATAAGAGATCACAGTTATGCAGTCAAAACACTGAAATAAATTCTCAACATATTGTGACATATCCACGCATTGTCAGGCAACAGCTCAATAAACACCTCGCAATACACACACGCAACAATGGAACAATGGGTTATGCAACCAGCTTCTGGACAACTGCTCGGTAAACACACTTCCACACAGGTGCAATGATGTAACACTCCAACAGTGCTTAGCTATCATGTGACTTGTTTCCTGTGTGTCTGCGCTATACAACAGTAAAACTATGTTTTCTACATTACCCGTTCCCTGGATAGAGACCAGCCGCAGCTATGTAACATGGGTCTGTTTGCAGCTAAGAAGAATGTTTTTAGTCGAGTTCTGTGGTTCCAGGGTGACTGAAAAAGAAATGGCAAGAAGACTTCATAATGATTGGAAGTGCTAGTTTCTGTGTTGAGATCTGTTGCCAGGAGATGGCTAGCGAAGACTGGGAATCCTAGTGCGTGTGCAACAGTGGACGGGAATGTGCGTAAATCAGCAATAGCATTGTAATAAGTGTGATTAAGAAAACTTGGAACTGAAGTGCTAATAAATAGAATCATCCAATCTAGAACCCATTAATTTTGCCACGCGTATCCCCCTACATGTGACAATATAAAGAACTTTTTGCCTGTAACAGCTTCAGACTTTTCTGAACATTACTGGAAAACAGAGAAATTACAAAATCGTTAACATTTTTATCTTAGTCTATTTTCTATATAATTTGTAACTGTATTATAAAGCGATTATTGTCTCTTCAGAAATGTATGGGCTGTAGGGTAAATATTTTGGAAAAAAATTGCTATCTTTCAGAGAACGGCATAAGATACGTAACAATGGATCACACCTTTTTCACTGGCTACAGGCGAACAGTTGTGAAACCTGATGAAGTTCTTGTTTCAATTACTATTCCCTACACAAAAGAGGTAAGTCAAAAATCACAATTTGTCGAAGGAGTCAGCTTTGGTGACATTTTGCATTTGCACATTGGTATTTCACACTATTTTTGACACCCAGGACATAAAGGAGTAATTGTGCTTATTTATTTATTCAGCACTACTGTGAAGAGCTCAGAATGTATAGTGTCAATTGGTAAGATGATTAATTAGTCAGTAATGAATTGTAAAGAACGTGAAAAGAAAGCGAATATGGCCTAAATTCAGATATTATCCCAGCATTTGCCTGAAGGGATTGAGAAAGGGCAGAAATTCTTCTCGTCATTAGTTTGTGAGGACTACCAAATAGGGCCCAGCCTGCCTGTGTACATGAATAACAAGGCCTGTTTTCTGAGAGATAAAGCAGCCAGAACTTGAAAAATGACCACTAACCTTTTACTTATACATATATTTTGGGTATGTGGAGCTTCACCTTCACACATGTGCATGTCATGAGGCAAAGTGCTTAGACACTGCAGCAATTTCTGGCAGTTTCTGAACTTTTTAAAATCTAGCCACATCAAGTATTTGTGTAGTTTATTGACCCTTGACATGAGATATTTCCACAGCAGTCACAAAGGTGACTGGATTTGCAATACTTCACCACAGGTAGTTCTAAAAGATACAAAAGAAATGGCATTAGCATTTGGTTTTTAACAATTTTTGATACAATGGCCAGGAGATATGTATGAAATTTTAAAACATTAAAAAATAATTCTGCTGTTACCTGTAAGTATCACCTAGCCAATGTGCAAATATTTGGGTTGTGGCCAGGAAAAGTTTAAATATCCTGAAGGATATTTTTCATATGCGTCAGAGAAGAAGATGCTTAGGAAGACATCAAAAAAATGAAAAGATTTCTTTTTTCTGTGTACAGCAGCAATATTACAATATTTCACACTAAAGAAATTGTTAAATTCTTTTGAGAGTCTGATTTTACTCATCCTTTACTTTCATATATTGTGATTATAGCTTGGTGTAAGATACAACTGCCATAAGTGTGATATAATACAGCACTCCACAGAAATATATAACTGTTAGTTTTCAGCAATGAGATCTTGAGCTTATAATCATTAGAAGTTCAGGCATTGTGTTTATTTTAACATTTTTATTAACTGGATAGGAGCATTGGAACACAGGAAAGAGTACATGTTCATTGTTCTACGATACTAGTATAAATGTCAACCTGATGGTTCCCTGAGAACTGACACGTGTCATGGAGGGATTGAAATTTATTAGAGCAGAAGTATTCTTTCATGATATTTGTATGTTCAGAAAACAAATTCTGAGAATAGTTATAATAATTGATATTTTTCAGCTAGTTCTGTGCAAAAGCCATTATGTTGTCTGCACTTGCAGGACCAGTACTTCTATGCATACAAACAAGCAAAAAGAAGAGATGATGATATTGCTATTGTGAATATGGCTTCCAATGTAGAGTTCAATCCAGGAACTAACACAATTAAGGACATCAGTCTTGCATTTGGTGGAATGGCCCCTACAACTGTGCTAGCTATGAAGACTAAAAACAAACTCATTGGAAAGTAAGTCCATATTAAATGCATTTACTGTCGAATAATCAGTTCTGTTATGGTTATCCCTTATGTTATCTGTTATGGTGGTATGTTCTTTCAGCCCATTTCACCATCTATCTAATTGTGCTCTCATGTGTAGATTTTCTTTTTCAACCATGTAACAGTTTTACACCAGAGAGTATATGGATATATAGGCTGTTATAAATTCACAGTCTGTTTCTGCAAAGTATTATTTCAGCATAAATGCTCAATACATACTTCAGCTGCCAAGTCTGAACAAAACATAGTTGTTTGTTAACATTATTTTTTCTTTTACTTTTAATGAAATTTGACACTGTCACCTTCCACACAGAAATGTAATTGCTATTAATCTGTTATTTTCAACAATTCTTGTATTGAAACTCACAGGCAATAGCCTACGGCATACTGTGATTTTCCAACAAGATGTGGCCGTTCATTTTGTTGCCATTTTGTGAGATTAGGAAAAATCCAAAATTATCATGACTGGATGCAATGAAATATTCTCTAGTTACTGGCTACTGGTCACCCAAGAAGCACTTATGGTGTTGTGGGAGATTACTTCAAAATAACATTTCCTTAAGATCCCCTGATTTAACCCCTTGCATATGTGACATTAAATGACAAATTTGCATAACAAATTTTTGCAATATTTTACAGTGTGAGGATGTATCTTTGCTTCTGCCAGTGAAATTAACTTTCTTGTTCTGTCACGCAACCAAATATATTTGAACTTCATTACCATTCTGTCAACAAGTGGCGGTCGTTTGGTTGGTATAGTTCGCTTGCAGACTAAAATCACGGAGTTTTTTTTTTTACCATTTGTATGCAACTGTCACTTGAATACCAACTTTGTCAAAATTTTTAAAATATAAGTGGCTCCTGTGACTCATCTCATACCAGGTAAGGATAATCACTGAAACAGCCTGCATTAAATGGGTAACTGTTAGTAAGCAGTGCATAATGATATTCCTGTAGTTATATTTTTTAATTTGGAGTGGGATGAGGTAGTGTCCCTTGGCACTTTGGCCTCAAATGTATTTGTTATGCCAGCCCTTGATGATACATGAATGTATAGCATTGGTGATATGATAACTGGGAGGCAAAACTGAAGTACTTTGATGATAACTGTAACAAAATATGCTTCCCCTAAAGTTGTATCTGTCCAAGCAGTTGTTGGTTTGCTTGTGCTGTAATGCTGGCTCTGGGTGTAAGTAATTACATTGACTTCTGTAGATATTATGGGCCAAAATAAACAGCTCTGAATACTTCATTACCTCAATATATTAATTTTATAGTGTAGAAAATATTTAAACATTAAGTTTCCAAATGTGAGGAATTATGAACTGCATCTGATACAAATTAGAGATTAGCAGTGCAGTTACTCATATGTGCACAGAAAGAATACTTGAACCCAGGAGACATGAAGTGAGAACGGGGGATATTACATAATGAATTTATCTTTGTACTTCGTAGAGGTCACAGTTGTTGTTAGGATAATGAAATCAGGAAGGTTCAAGAGACTAGGAACAAACTGTAGACTGAAATGTGAAGTGGATACAGAATGTTAGAAGGAAAATAATTTTTAAACTACTTAGAAATTCCAAAAAGTAAATTAAATGGTAATATTTTAATGGAAATTAGGAGTTAATATTTCAGGAATAGGGGGTGCATAGAACTAGCTCAGAATTTAGTCCAGTGGCAAGTACCCAAAATATTGCACCTTCTGGTTCTATTTCCAGAATATTTGTTGAATTAGTTGCCTACCTATATGTTCAGAAGGCTGCTATCTTCTGGGATGTGACATAATTTAGTCTCGTAGCTGTTTGCCGACATCTTGGAAGGACATATTACCTTCATCTCCACTACAGGAGAGCAAACTAAGTATGGAACAATTTGATGCAGATATAAGGGAGAGACAGCCAGGCTATGAGTCCTGGGTGAACAAAGCAGAGTAAGGAGAATGGGACAGAAATTGGTTCCCATCAGTAAACATCTACCACAGTATCCAGCATCCTGTCCTAGAAGATTCTAATCATCATAGTCACTGTCATGAGAACCTCAAATCTCACAGACCAGGTGACTGACCTATTTCATACAGTCTGATTGTAGGTTTAAGTTCTGTTTTTCAGGCAGTGGGATGAAAAGACACTTGAAGAAGCATATTCATCTTTAATTGAAGATTTGCCTCTAAATCCAAGTGCTCCAGGTGGCATGATTCGGTATCGCAGATCTCTCACACTGAGGTACTTATATTTTCTACAAAATAATCATCACTATGGGAGAATGTTAAGTATAGCTTTTGGATACAATAGTAGAAGCAGTTATTGATCCCATTCCTCTGCAATCACTGCCTATATGTCAGATCAGATGCACTTATTATTGTAATATTTATTGATGCCATCTTATTATGAAGGTCACTGTTTGTTCAGGTATTTTTGTTCAATGCTTATTTGTCCATGTTGTTTTTTATTAACCTCTGACTGGGTTAGTTGAAATTAGTTCAGTTTTGATGTTTTCATGTCAGCAGGTGGAGTGATACGGTGGGAGATACTGTACAATTTTACAAAATTTGTAACTAATTACTGAAGTTTTATCTTAGTACTAGGTGTGTCATGAAATTAAAATGTAAAAATAGAAGTCATCTTATAACTAAGCAAGAGTAATACAAAAAATGGGGTTTATGATAAAATCAAATAAATTGTTACCCAGAATGTGTCATTGTATTTAACTTTCAAAATACTAAGACATATGTATGGGTGGGTGTGTGCATGCATATGTCTTTGTGGGAGGGGGTTACATAAAAGAGTAATTTCACCAGTTCTGTATTGTCAGTTCTACTTGTATATTGTTGTGAAATATGGCCACCAATCTAACAGAAGAACATAAAGTCAATAAAAAGTCCGTCGAGTGTAACAATTTATAGGTCACTTCTTTATCACTTCTGCCTTACATGTTTCGGTTTAATAAAACCATCATCAGAGGCACATAGTACAAGCATGAAAACACTGCCGTTGTTTAAGATGTACACAGTTATGTTTGCTGCGTGAACGCTGCTACAATACGTCGACGTGTAAAAGCACAACACTTGTTAGGATTGTTGAATGNACTTCAAATGTTTTAAATTTTAAATATTTTAACATTGGCGTTTTAACTTGAGGGCAGTTTCGGATGAATGTGAGAATTGAACGTGCATTCAACAATCCTAACAAGTGTTGTGCTTTTACACGTCGACGTATTGTAGCAGCGTTCACGCAGCAAACATAACTGTGTACATCTTAAACAACGGCAGTGTTTTCATGCTTGTACTATGTGCCTCTGATGATGGTTTTATTAAACCGAAACATGTAAGGCAGAAGTGATAAAGAAGTGACCTATAAATTGTTACACTCGACGGACTTTTTATTGACTTTGTGATTGATAGTGTAACGGACCAAAAATGAAACAATTCAAAATAGAAGAACATACGTATATTACAACTCTGTGGAGAAGACAGAGTGCTCAGTTAAATANAAACAAATAGTATGTTTTTTATTTTTTTATTGCTAGTGGTGTGGGACTAAGTCCCTTGTACTGCGGCTACTTTTGGCCTATTGTACCAGCCCCAGATGATAGGTGAGGGTGATTGTGGAGCAACTGGTGGAATGAAGTTTGGCAGGGGAAACCGAAGTACTCAGAGAAAACCTGCCCCAGCGCTACTTTGTCCACCACAAATCCCACTTAACCAGACTCGGGATCGAACCAGGCCACCGCGCTGGAAAGGCAGTGACTAACCGCTTGAGCTATGGCATGGCCCTAAGGATGAAGTAAATGGGTAATTTAGGATATTACATCACAAGGAAACTTGTGACATTTACGGGCTACCTGCATTATTAAGATAGTACAAACTAGGTGGTTACAATGGACGGTGGGGAGAAGAAATCAAGGTGGAAAATGGTACGAAAGTTTGGTGGAGAAATCTTGAAGAGGTTTCCTGGGAAGCTACAAAGGAACTGGATGATAATATTAGGTTGAAAACAGACTGTGACTGAGAAGTGAATTAAATGGACTAGGGGTTGTGTTCAGTGGCAAGTTTTGGCATTAGCATTACTGCAGAGTGAACTTGCAGAATCAGAAAATTGGTTCATTATAAGGATGGTGTTTATGAGCGTGATGGTGACAAGAACTGGTGATTTATCGTGACTAACATAGGCTTCATGTACATGCATTGTTTCAGTCTGTTTTTCAAGGCATACCTTGCTATCTTGAACCAATTTGAACAGAGAAAGGTTCCAGTAGTACAGAAGCTGCCACAGCAGTACCAGAGTGCATCTAGTGGCTTCCACAGCAAGATACCCAAGAGCTCTCAATATTTTCAAGTGGTAAATTAGATTGCACTCAACATTAAATCTGCCTTTGATGTTTAAATATTTCACATGTTTGTGTCCATGAAACATGAAGGTCGATAGACATTCATTTCCTCAGGAACAGCACATCCCACTGATTGTGCAAGATGTGTAGTGATTAAGTGCCATTCTTGTACTTGGGAAGTACCAGGTTTGAATTTCAAGAGAGATTGCAAACTATCCTGATATAGGTTGTAATTATTTTCCTCAGTCTTGTCACATAAATATCAGGATAACACCTTGAAATACACCATATGCTTCCTTTCAAACCTTTATTTATGCAACATTCATTACCTTCCTCCCATCTTGCTCGATATTATGGAATTTTTGCAGTTGATTCAATGTTATGAAATAAAGTAAGAATATAAACATATTGCAGAAGTAACTATAAAGTAAGAATGTCTCCCAATCTGACCGAGTTTGACAGTTCTTTTACAATTTGATGAATGTGCTTAGCTTCTAGTGCCTTCAGGTATATCCTATTTCACCTTTCTGGCCTTCACCCATCTAGACAAAAGTATAGAATCCATTTCTGAGGCAAAGAGAATCATATGGCACTTTCCATTACCACCAATGATAGGACTGATCTGATTAATACTAAATAAAATGTTTCTAAAAAGTTAGTAAAACTGCCCCCATATTAAATCTCATCAAAACCTGTATGTAAAAAATAAAATATCTTCAGCTTTGCTTCTCTGTCCAGTATAGACTGAAGTTAAAGGCAAGAGTGGAAGGAAGAAAGCAGTCTTCTGGGATTTGGCACCGTGTATATGTGGTGTTAACCGACAGTCTGCTTTTACCGTTCTCACGGTCTTGTCGCTTGCAGATTTCTTATACTTTTTCTTCTACCCTGAAGATGGAGGCGATACGTTCCTCCGAAACGTCGGTTAACACCACATATACACGGTGCCAAATCCCAGAAGACTGCTTTCTTCATAGTCACCGCCGTGAAAGCCTCAAATCTTACAAGAGTGGAAGAGTTTAAATAAACACAATTAATTTATTTATAACAAAAGCATAGATAAAAAAATACAAAATAACTGAATCCCCCAATAATAAATACTACAAAAAAAAAATGAAAACCAGATAGCCTCACATAACATCTAGCTTGTGCCAGGTGGTAAAAGCTCTGACAAGTGGGAAACTCAAAACAAACTTGTGGCAACCAGCTGTATGTTACGAGGAGAGAACAGTTGGTGTTTAAACTACTGTAGCATGTCAACCAAAACTGGAATTTAAACAATTCTTCCGTATTCAGAGCTTCTCAGAGCAAGCCTCATGCAAGGATATGGTAGTAGAAGGAGAGATGGGTGGGGAGATTCACAGCAGAACATAACATAACTGAAAACTGGGAACAAGCTGTTACACATGACACAAATGTGATCAGTGACATTATTAAAAGCTGCCGAAAGTTTTACAAAAAATTTGTTTGGCCAGAGTACAGATTAAGCCATTTTTTTTTCTTCAAACACCTCTAATGGCCATTTCAAAATTGCACAGCTGCAAAATAATTCAGTGTCTGAAATTTCATCCCTACATGTACAGCTGTGTCTATGATGACCACAAGTTCTATTTTTAACAAGGCCATTTCACTGTAACCTTGTTTTTCATTGGAATGTTTCAGGTACCAGCAGATCAAAAGGATACAGACCTTGTTGGAAGGCCAATTGTACATAAGTCGGCTTTCAAACAAGCTACAGGTGATTTCTGAAAATACCATAAAAGAATAAATCCAACTTGTACCTTCATGTTAGGTGCAGTTTTTTTTTATAAATTTTTTGCACGTTATGCATGCAAAATCATACAGGAGATATCACATTTGTCTGTCCATATATGTATTTACATACATCGGCTCAAAATTTTCTGAAAAAAAAATTTGATGAAGTTTTATATGAATGCCACTGAAGGGCACTCCAAGCTCATACTTTCCTTCCATTTTGGAAAACAATAGGGCTATGCTGTCTGTATCCTGCCCCCCTCAACTTCTGACTAATTTTTACACAACCTGATATTGTGTAACTGACAGTTTCCAGAACGTTGTACTCTTAATTTCCTACGATTGGTTATAGTAGCATAGTTGACTTACAGCCAAATGAGATGGGAGAAATACTAGCAACATTAGCTACAACATTTATTTTATGTTTGGCCCTTACAAGAGGACATGTCTGTTCTCCCATACTTTCTACTCTACCAGTTCTGTGCCAGTAATATTTATTTCCATGTTTCTACAGCAAAACAACTATTTATTGTGAAAATTTTTTAAAATTATTTCAGTTTTTCTTCTACAGCAAAGCAATTACAACATGATTTCTTTCACTTTCACATATTATTTGCTCATCTCTGCTTATAAATTTTTGGTTCATATAGACATTTCTCATAGGCTCTGATTCACTTGCTGTTTAGGATTCGGGCATTTCACAGATTGGAATAAAAGTTTATGTACCTGTATTTATAAACTATTTCTTCCCCTTGCAAAATGTAGAATATTAAGCTGTAGAAACATATAATGTTTAACTTTCTGATTCAGGGGAAGCTGTATATTGTGATGACATGCCACACTTTGAGAATGAGCTCTACCTGGCTCTAGTCTTAAGTACTCGAGCACATGCTGAAATTTTATCTATTGATGCAAGCCAGGCACTTGCCATGGAGGGTGTCCATGCATTCTTCTCAGCCAAGGATCTACAAGAGCCACCTTTTCGAAACTGTCATGGGATTATTCATGATGATGAAGTCTTTGCAGAAGGAAAAGTAAGTTAATGATCAAATTTGTCATGTTTATTGCACCATCCTCTGAGTATAGTGTTCTATCAAGGAATAAAATTAAAGATTTAGTGTATGCCTTCATCTAAGGGATTAATCCATGCTATTTCAACAGCAGAAGTTGCACATTTTTTAATGTAATGGGAAATATATGATGAATGGTGAATAGATTAGGATATGGAAGAAGACATTCATGGCCTATTCAAATGTACTGTACTACCATTTGACTGCACAGACCGAGGAAAAATACAAAATACCTCAGTTTGGTTATCTGGTAGCCCAGCGAAAATTCTGAGTACCTCCCAGGTACAGTTCTAGAACATTAGTGCCACACCAATTTACTCAGCATGAAGTATAGTGTGTTTCAAGATTTTCAGAGATTTTTCATGTCTTTTGACATAATTGAAATCCCCATTTGAAGTGTTTATGGGGGAGCAGTGGATTGAACATTAAATTGAGGAAACCTTAAATGGAGGCAGTTTACTGCTGAGATTATTTTGACTTGGAATCATTGGAACTGAACATGAAAAGAAGGAAAACTTTAAAGTGGGGGGGGGGTTTCTGCTATAGTGGTATAATTGCATATATGTAAGTAAAAAAAGTAAAGGTATCCCTGCAACAGGCCATAGAGGCCCATAGAGTTACGAGATGTTGAGGTTCCCACTTTTTCGAGGCAATCGGCTCATAGATGGCGGCAAGGTATTGAGCCCTATGCGCCGGCCGCCCTTTACCTCCAAGAATATTCCAAGAATATTCCTGGTACTCATTTCTGTTAGAGGCTGCAAGTTTACAGTGTAGCTAGATATTATTTCATTGTTACATGTGTTTCTGTGAGGCAACAACAAAATGTTGAAATTATCAATGAATGACACTGGTGTTCACATTAATTATGAACTCATATATATTTTAGGTAACAAGTCAGGGACAAGTTATCGGAGCAGTGGTTGCTGTTGACCAGATAACAGCTCAGCGTGCATCTAAACTTGTCAAAGTGGAATACAAGGACTTGGAACCAGTAATAATTACTATTGAGGTAAAGAGGGAGAGCACTTCCATATATTGAAAATGGTGACAGAATGCCCTTAAACTGGATTTGTCCTTCTTACTCTTTTATATACAGAGAGCACAGAAAGTGCTGTGCAAAAAGCTGATGGCATTATTTAATATATTCTTGGTGAAAAGGCAGGTTCCTGCATCTCTAGCTCTTGCAGTAGACATGGGAAGCAAAGGAAATTGATTTTTGCATCACATAAAATTTTAAAGCTTGTAGTTCATTTCTTGATAGATGCCAGAACTAGTGGTACTGTAAAAAGCTTATGTGGTAGATATCATTACAAATAAGAAATTAGTAGAGGAAGTTCAGCTAATATGGACCTTGTATGAAAATTTAACAGAACTATACTAAATGTAAAATTGATATCAGCAAACTGAATTGTCATATCACTTGCTCCAAAGAAAATCTGTGAAGTGGTTGAAATCGAAATTTTTTAAGCTCACTATCAGAAAACATCCACTCAGAAAGTGAAATGAGATCAGCTTTTGAAGAAATTGGCAGAAGAACTGTTGAAAAGTATGTAAACCGAAATTTTAGAAAAATCACAGCAAGTTCTGCAGGCACATTGTTGGGTAGAAGATAATTTGCGCACAGGTTTTCTGCAACCAAATCCAGAACACAAGCCAGGGCTGATATTTAAGTATAGTGTGTATGTGTGGTCATAGAGAAGCATAACAGTAAAGGAACTTACTACTGTGTACTGTCAGGAGTGTGACTTAGGCCTTTTGGGATGGGTTTGTTTCAACATTCCCAACACAAGACTAACTGTTGGGAGAAATACTGTGAAACAGTGAGAACCCTATAGCTGAAATGATAAGATCTGTTTTATATGGTTAAACTTACAGTGAGTCATAGGATCTTTCGAATTTGGGCAGAAGTGTAAAGATTTACAGCACCAGATGCTGTGGAAATAAACTATATTCTTTGTTGTTGTTGTTGTTTTAATATTCCTTTAATATTCATATATAGGATCAAGCATGACATACAAATTTCTCACATACAAAAAAATCTCAGTAAAATAATATTGTTATCATGTCCTTTGGTTTGTGTACCATAATATAAACCTCCAGCACACAACACTGGGCATTTAAAAACTGTATGGTTTCAGGTGTTAACAAATAGATTCAGGTACACAAGAGCCAGAATCAAATCAGTCAGTCCGGTCGGACAGTCAGTCAGTCTGGTCAGTCATTCCGGTCAGTCCAGTTGGTCAGTAAGCCCCGGTCGGCCAGTCAGTCCAGTGAGTCAGTCAGTCTGGTCGGTTAGTCAGTCCAATCAGTCAGTCATTCTGGTCGGTCAGCCCAGTTGGTCTGGTCAGTCAGTCAGTCAGTCAGTCAGTCAGTCTGGTTGGACGGTCAGCCATCCCAGTTGGTCAGTCAGTCCAATTGGTCAGTCATTCTGGTTGGTCAGTCAGTCTGGTTGGTCGGTCGGTCAGTCAATCTGGTCTGTCAGTCAGTCCAGTCAGTCAGGTCATTCCAGTGCAGTCACCAGTAATCTTAATGTTTTCAGGATGCAATTAAGAAGAAATCTTTCTTCTTTAATAGTCCCAAAGAAATATATCAAGGAGATATAGAGGCAGCATTTAGAAGTGCTAACCATGTCCTAGATGGAGAAGCTCGAATGAGTGGACAAGAACACTTCTACTTGGAAACACATTGCACAATTGCGGTTCCGAAGGGTGAAGATGATGAGATGGAGTTGTTTTGTTCTACACAGAATCCATCAGAGACACAGGTTTAACTTTCACTGTTCAGTTTGTTTCCATATAGCTCTTTTGGAGGATATAATTGCAGGGAAAATTCTTGTGGAGAAATATCTCTGAATTTTGCATCTCAGAAGACAGAGACTGACAACCATTAATTGGATATATAGAATGTAAACAAATTCAGATTCAAATTTAAAGAGGTAATTCAACTGTATAGCTCTTTGCGTGTATTTCTCTTTCAGAGAGTAACAGCAGAAATTCTTGGTATTAAAAGTAACCGAGTAGTTTGCCGAGTGAAGCGAATGGGTGGAGGTTTTGGTGGTAAAGAGTCTCGAATGCTAGTCCTTTCTGTTCCTGTTGCAGTGGCAGCATACAAGTAAGTTCTCACCCAGTATATGAATATTAGGTACAATAAGAAGTTCTTAAAACTAACTGCCTACTTTCCTTTGGTACAACACAGGCTGCACAGAAAATGGAAAAAAAAAGAGGGGATACACAGACACACAGACTGCAAAGTAATCTCATAAGCATCCTTTATTTTTCAAAACAAGAAACATGCACTTGGACACACAGACAGGAAGGTAATCTCACAAGCATCCCTTTTTTCCTTCAAAATAAGGAAACTAGGCTAAAAATGAACACACAATTTTTTTAAATACAGCAATGAAAATCATATCCAGCACTCAGTAGTCTCTATATGTGTGTGTGTTGGTCTAATTTGTCATGAGTATCCTGTAGGAAGAAAATTTTGGTAATATAAACTTAAATTTGTGGCTTGGTTTTCATGATTGGGCAGTTATTTTATGGTAGGGTGGTGTCATGTCTCACTGTTCTTGCATTCTTGTGGAGATATGGCTCTGAATTTTGATAAGATTTTATTAAAATTGTACAGGTAATTTCTGTGATGTCTACGCAATATGAGGATGTGGTCTACATGACTAATAATTTTGCATAGTGGGGTGGTCCCTGAAGCATTCTGAACACAGGTCAGGATCCATGTATTTTCCAGCAGCAGGGGTTAAGTCATGCAACTACACCTCTTTTAGAGTTTCAGAAAATAAATCAAAATTGAAGAAAATAGGGAAATGTACCAAACATTAATAATAGAAATCAAAAGCATTCAAAATTACAAAAAGAGTTCCATCTTGAATACTTTAGAGCAATCAATAAAAACAATCTTAACCACCTAAACATTAATTTGTAAATAAATTTTTGGCCACCACCCTCATAAAACTGCCTACCACCCTTGTAAAACTACCTGCCCCAGTGGAAAACAGGTTTCTCCTCAGAAAAGAATCTCGGTGACAGCCATTCCCACATACTAATTCTTACATCAGTAAACCTTGCCCCTTCTTTTGCTATGCTTTGAGCAGGAGGCGGCATATTCTTCCAGAACATTTGTCACTTTTGTTACAATTTCAAAGATGTATACCTAGAAGACTACAAGGGATATGGCCTCTTCGATAACCTCACGTTTTATATAGCATTCTACTTGTAGGTTAAATCGGCCTGTGCGATGCATGCTAGACAGAGATGAAGATATGATGGTGTCTGGAACACGTCATCCATTCCTTGGAAAGTACAAAGTAGGAATTACAAAAGAGGGAAAGATTATAGCTTGTGACATTGAAATATACTGTAATGCTGGCCATACTTTGGACTTGTCTGGAGCTGTAAGTGGAATTGTTGGTTTAATTTTGACTTTTTCTTTTATAAGTTTCCTAATATTTGTAAGTTAGAAGCACTGTATTTGTTGTTTACTTTCCTCACAGGTTACAGAGAGAGCTATGTTCCATTTTGAAAATGCATATTATATTCCAAATGCTAGAGTCAGAGGTTATATCTGCAAAACCAATCTTCCATCCAACACTGCATTCAGAGGATTTGGAGGACCACAGGGAATGTTTTTTGGAGAGAATATGATAAGAGAAATTGCATCATATTTGAATAAGGATCCTCTTGAAGTAAGTACCATTCATATATACTTTTCCAAAATGTAGTTAAATATTCATGGGTAAGTACATGAATGCCATAAAGAATATTGCTACAGTTTTCTTACAGGCCACTAAAGAAACTGGTATAGGAGTAAATATAGATAAAACTAAATACAGGAAACTCCCTGTTACCCGGCATGAATGGAGAATAGATGGCCATACCATAGCTCAGACAGTTAGATACCGGCTTCCCAGTGTGGCTGTATGTGCTTGATCCCAGGTCACATCATGTGGGATTTGTGATGGATTAAGTGGCACTGGGGCAGGTTTTCTCTGAATACTTTAATTTCCCCTGCCAAATCTCATTCCAGCTGCTCCATACTAGTCAATCATCCAGGGCTGATACAACATGCCCAGTAGTTGCCTGCATACCAAGTGGACTCAGTCTTGCTGTGCTGGTTCCATGAGAAGAACTCTAATAAAAACCCAATACAGTACAAACTCAGCATCAAGACAATACATTGTTACTTTAGTTCTTGCATAGGTGAATTTATGACAGCCTCTGCTGAGTAACGGCTTCAGAAACAAACATGTGTGGGGCTCTTAATGTGTAGTCTTGTCATTACTCCGATGACAACCCACTTCTTCGGAACAGTTTGTTGGCCCTGAAAAGGACCGTGGTTGCTGAGATGCTTGATCGGAGAGGTAGCGCGGCGCGCACCGGTAAGGAGAGAGGCTAGTTGCGGTGAGTGGCCTGGCCGCAGTGCGGCTGTGGCTGGAGGTTGCTTGGTTGCCGTGCGGCAGCGTGAGTTGGAGGTTGCTTGATCGCAGCGCGGCAGCTGCTGGTGAAAGGCTAGTCGTTGAGCGCGGTCGTAGGAGTGATGAGGCAGTGACTACGCCAGATGCCCAGTGGGTCGGACAGTAACACGACCACCGGCGAGTCCAGGCGCGGTGCCCCAGTGAGTCGGGTGTGAGAGCGCCGGAGGGCCGAGGCAGTCGTGCTTGGCGCAGCCTGCCAATACCTCCGAGGACCGAGCGCTGCCAACGAAGCCTGCTGGCTGGTGTTGCTTGATCGTAGACTGAAGTCAGACTGATGAACTGAATACTCGGTGTTGGAGCTGCCCCTTTTTATACACTGCTCAGTGGGGCGGAGCGAAACTTGAAATTGAGGAGGAAGAATTGATTGGCTAGCGCGCGTAATGACGTAGATGCTGGCTAGCAGGAGGCACCGTATAAATGCGAACGTTTGAAGCAATCTGATTGGTTAGCGCGCGTGATGGTGAAAAGTGATGTGAAGAGCGAGTGTTGCAGAAATGCGTGATAATGTGGGATGTTTCCATGACAATTATTGAACAACAATGAGGAGTGATGTTTTCTACACGGTCCATGCTGAGGGGAGGCAAGTTTAGAGTTTAGATAGTTAGACATTTTTCCAGCCAATAAGGATGTAAACAGAGGGCATTATTAAGAACTATTAACCAAAAAAAGGCAGCTAATGGAAACAAACTGCAGAGACCTAATACATTCTGTAGTGAACTGCAAAATGTGGATTAGTGTTAGTGCTATAGTTGATTGGATAATTGAGGAGCTCTTTCAAGTAAATAGCGGCTCCGGTCTAGAAAACTGAAATTAATGGTCATGGGGACTCGTTGCGCTGACCACGTGACACCCTCTATCTGCAAAAGTTGGCGTTGAACTTCGCTGATAAGCGGCGGTTACTCAGTCAGTATAGTTCGCTTGCGGACTAAAATCATGGAGTTTAGTTTCTGTTTTAGCTATAGTTGATTAAAGTTACAATTGTAAGTTGTCAATAAATCTAATTACCAATCCAAACATCGTGTACAGTCACACTCACCCACTTGACAATACCTTAAATCTCTTCTTAATGGTCATCACAAAGGATTACTATGCAGCCATAAACTGAGCAGCAACCAGTAATCGTGACATACCTCAAACCTATTATGTTCTTGGAGAACTAATATAAGAAAATATGCAAAAACAAATCTTCTTCCAACGTCATTGACTTTAATAGTAGTAAAGAAGTTTGACACATGGATTCCAGTCTGATGGATGTTTTTTAAAAATTTTTTAGAAAATTTCCCTGGTTATAAATCCTAACATCAATATTGTATTCACTCTCATGCTTGCCTGCTTTTGACTCAGGCTGTTGTATCACATATGACATAAAATAATTTTTAAGTTCTATGGATCTGCTAGAGTTACAAGATTCTTCATAGCACACAGTTTAATTGTACTGAAAAAATAATCTATTGAGAATATTAAATTTACCAAAATATCTGAGAGAATGATCTTGAAAGTACTGTGACGTGTTGCGCTATGTAGGACACCCCCCCCCCACCAGCGGTGACGTAACACCATCGGAGCGCTGTCGTTACGAGGGTAATAGGAAAGTCAACACTCCTTCCCCTACCCCGCCAGCCGTGACGTGCCGAGCGGAGCCGAAGTGAGCTGAGTCCCAGCACACTGGTCGCTATGCAACACCGGTAAACAGTGGTTGCTAGAGACGACGGTAATAACAGTGGCGCCTATTACGTGGCTGTTTTCCCGTTGTCTAGCTGAGGGTTTATAAGAGCACTACACTGCCTACAGAGGCAGTTAAGTGTATCAGTCGTCGAAATGAGTTCTCAAGGCAGCAGCCTACAGTTGAGTTGGAATCTAGACAGCGGCGAGTTACGAGTTGAATTAAATTGTAGTAGTCACCGAGTTCAGTTGTAATGAGTGAACTGTGACAGAGTGAATTGATTAGTGCATAGGGTTTTTAAAGTGTGGAAACCCGTAACATTGTTATAATTAATTGTAGCCGAGATTTTTAAGTTGTTAAATAAACAAATTAACAATCCGAATGGCTTCTTCAGTAACAAAACACGTTGTAGTATTATTGTTTTAAGATTTTAAATACTATAGATTATGAAATGAACTAACAGCAGACTAAGTTGCTATAATAAACAAATTCACATACAGTATATCAAATTGAACTGAGCTGAATATGTAGGTGATTAAATTGATTGTTATTATTCCATAAATTATAACAAAAATCTAAGTATTACTGCTTTGGAAATGTTCTTATATTGACTCAGTGCTCAGTAGATATGAAAATTTTAATACATGCCATAGTTGCCAGATGTATTTTATTTTCCCAGAAATCATTTAATTGCATTTTATGTACATTCATTCATTTGTGAATATAGGACAATTCCAAATTTTAAATGAATATGAAAGTAAGAAAATCATNCACATATACACGGCGCCAAATCCCAGAAGACTGCTTTCTTCATTATGATATAGTCTGATAAATAATGTACATGTACTCCATCTGAGCACAATTTTACACTAATTTCAAATTCAGAACTTAAAAGTTTAAAAAGAATTATATTATTCCCAAGTGTTTTCACACAATTTTCAGATTTCTTCAATAAATTTATATAAAGAAGGTGACAAAACACATTACAATCAACCCCTAGAATACTGCACTCTGCAGAGATGTTGGGACAAATGTCTAAAAACAGCAGACTATTTCAACAGGAAGAAGCAAGTTGAGGAATTTAACAGGTATGAAAATACTGTGCACAACAAAGATTTTTATACCTATTTAAGTGAAAGAAAATGTGCCTCTTACTATTATCATGTCTGTGAATTTTACAAGATTTTTCTGTCAGATATTTCCTAAACCAATAGGTTGAATACATTTCAGTATGAAGAAGTTTTATTGAAGCACAAAAAAAATGCTTGGTTTGTTTTGCTTGCATTTGTAATTTATCTGTTTACATATTTACCAGGTGAAATATTTAAAGAAGGGTAGTAGATATGACTCTATGAATGTATGAGGAGTAGGTCTCCTTGGCCCTTGCACCGTGACCTACAGTGGTCTATTGTGAATCTAAGTAATATATTCAGAAAAATAATTCTTAATTGTGTTTCATAACTGTTCATAATCATATGTTAATAACTATAATGCCCATCTGTCAGTATGCATGTGAGAATCTGTGAAAGATATTTTATTATATTTTAAATTTTTTACCTTATTAAAGATTATTAAAAAAGGTGAAGGTAAAGCTATCCCTGAAATAGGTTGTGAAGTCCCAGAGGGTTGTGAGACATTGAGGCTCCCACATTTTCTATAACATCGGCTCATAGATGGTGGTGAGGTTGTCAGCCTTACATGCTGGCCGCCCTTTACTCCTGGGAAGATTCTTGATACTCATTTCTGTTAAAGGCTTAGTCGACCCCAGGGCCATATTGTGGCTGGAAGGATTAAGTCAATAGAAAAATTCAATGACCTCATCGGGAATTGAACTCGCGATCTTCCGGCTTGTAGCATAGTGCTTCAACCAACTACACTACTGTATACCCCCCCCCCACTTAAAGTCTTCACTGTACATAAACACCTGGACTTATTTTTAAATGTATCTGACTTCACTAATATAAACTCAAAAGTTGGCAGGTTTGTGTAATGATAATGCTCTAACTCAGTACCCAGTTCAATCTTCGGCTTGGCAACTAGCTCTTCTGGTTTTCCTTAGCCTCTGCATTGTAGATATTGAGATAATACCTTGAAACAGGCCTCCTTTCAAAACTTTATATATCTGGCGTTCATGATTATCGTATTTGATACATCATAGATTCTGCAGCTGAAATGGTGTCATTATATTTTCTATGAATCAATTATTCAGAATCCAATTGGCTCTGCTTCCATGTCTGAGAATTAAATTATGTGTTGCAAAACAGAAAATGTGCATTTGTCTAGCACTATTACAGGCAGAACCGATGGAAAAAACGAGGAATGAGTGTTGTGCCAACAAAGTTTGGAATATCTTACACACTGCTGATGTTGAACCAGGCTGGAGCACTGGTGCTCATATATGATGATGGTTCTGTGCTTATTAGCCATGGAGGCACAGAAATGGGACAGGGACTGCATACAAAAATGATACAGGTCAGTGTTGAGCTCAGGGCTTAGGTATTATGATATTTATAATTATAAATTAACAAAATTATTAGAAAGGCAATACTGACACCTAAAAGAAAAATTGAATATTCTTCAACTGAAGAAGAGGGTAGAAGATGTAAGATATAAAATGATGTTCTTGGAAGAACTATCACCTTCTTTCTTTTCACTCAGACTGAGTATTTGATATGACACTGACCACATAGAAAACACCACATCCAGCAGTTCTTCTGTCATTGCATGTGTTTCATTGCTGCAGGAATGTGTTTGCTAAGCCAGTGCCTAGCAACAGATGTCTCTTCTGGCTTGTCTTGATTCATAAGATAGCACTGAGCATTTTCACCTCATCCCAACAGAAACTGAATGCTTGAATAAATTGTAACTGTCAGAAAGAGCAGGTGTTGATGTTATCTTTTTTAAGAATGCTAGGAATGATGCAGTGATGCTTGTGGGGGACACAGACACACAGACAGCAAAGTGATTTCATAAGCCTACCTTTATTGTTTAAAATAAATACAGTAGGCTAAAAATGGAATAGAACATGCTATTAGAACATCAGATGTGGTAGAAATATCACTGAATGACGATCTTTATATACAGTAAGGATATATGCATTTTTTTCCAGTTGATTTATTTTTTTTTCAAGCAAATAAAATGTCATCACATAATTTTCTGGGTTTGAAAAGGGGGTGCAGAAAAATATATTTGCACCTAATAGAGAGAGAGTAAGAGGAGGTATAATTGTATAATGAGGAATTTCATAATTTGTAATCTTCACCGCTTGTTATCAGGGTGATTAAATGGGAGAAAATGAAATGGGAGGCACATGTAGTATGCGTGGGAGGGATCGGATGTTCATACAAAATTCTAATCAGAAAATATGAAGGGAAGAGACCACTAGGGAGATTTATGATTAGATGAGAATATTATATTGTGACATTAATTACTATTTGGAGCAGTTAGTGTCTCACCACTTATTATCTTGATGTCAGTTCTGTGTTATCTAGTTATTTCACGCTTGTTTCTTTGTTCCGTCCTCTTCTTGTGGCTTCTCACTCCCTGTCTGAATTTGCACACAATTCACAGTGCTTTCTGCTTCACATCTTCACTCATATCAGCACTATGCTGCATCTCAGAACAGACTGCCTTGTTTAGAATTTCAAAACCACGTTTTATAGGCACAGTCCTTCAGGATGCTTGTCAAGGGTACTCAGGCCACTCTGGTCAGCTCTCAAAGAGTCTAGAAGCAGGTGGAGAGCCCCAATGTTTCTATCAGAAGAAAAGCACAAGCTGCAGACACTAGCCCCCATTCCCTCACTCACTCATTCCGTTCTTGCAACACTGCTCCCTGAAAATTCCTTTCCCAACTAGCCTTTAGATATGGTACTGTGTGTTCAAATGCACACAACTATTTTTGGTGCAACCAGACTCAGTCTGGAGTCCAACAGAGTTAACTGAGTGATCATAGCAGGCCTTCATTCCATTGCTGAAGGTGGTAGTCATCTCAAATTGTGCCTGGCCATTATGCTTGCATATGAGGCCCTGGCTCTGGGTTTGGGTACCTTGGCTAGCACAGCAATCACATTGTTAGCACCACTCTCAACGTTGCTAGTTGCTTGTTGCCAGTTCTGCTGTCTAGCATCGTTGAAGGTTTTGCAGGCATCCTGATGTCCTACTGAAGATCCTTTATGAAGCTAATCTAGTATTTCTTTCATCTTGCTCCGGTGAAGTGCTATCTGGTCTGTCTTGAAACATCCATCAGCTAACTCCCAGTTGCACTCCACTAGGGAATTCCACTGATCCCAGTGACTCTTGTAGATGAGACTATACTCAGCATTATACTTCCACTAGGGATGTCTTCTAGGCAACACTTCCTTTAGAATTGGCCTCATGTTTTCATCATCCAGTTGCTCCCTCATATCGGCACAGTCTAAGCCATCTGTAGTGGCAGCAGCAGTACTGTGTACCTTCAGACTGCCTGACGGCCTTTCGGCTTTCTGGCAGGGCACACAGGCCTTGTGTTAGGCTCTTCTAGAAAGTGGATAAATATGAGTATGTAATGAACCTTGAGATTTCATGAACAGCAGGGAATTTTTTGTCTCTCAAAACAACTATAGCTTCACAAGAAGTTCTGTACTCTTGCTAATTAATAAGTATCTGTTGGACTGAATATTTATTATGAGTTTTTCGGATCTCTGTATTCTAAAAATATCTCATCTTATATTTTATTGCAGGTGGCCAGCAGGGCTCTTGATATTTCTGCAGACTTCATCCACATTGCAGAGACATCAACTGACAAAGTACCAAACACTTCAGCTACTGCAGCCAGCTGTGGCTCTGATTTGAATGGCATGGCAGTCTTGGTAATTATGTCTAAGTATCAAAATACTGCTTTTGACTATCAGACATGTTCTTCTTGATAAACCGTGATATATTAGTAAAACTACTGGCTATTAGCTATAGGACAGGATTTGATTTCCTGTAAAGGCATGAATGCAGCTCTTCACTGCCACTTTCAGTGTAATTCATTCATCCATTCAACCTTCTATCCATTTTGCACTGAGACCAAAGTTTCTTCTATATTGTAGCATGTAGAATCATTGCTAAGTAATGACTGTAAACAACACATCTTGCTAGACAACAGATTCCTAACATGCACAAATGGACTAATGGGGAAGCGGTATTCTCTATGCCATCCATGCAACAGCAGCGCGTTGCAGTGAAACAATAACTGTTGGAAGCAGTTTTTTCTGTGCAGTCCATGATAAGGTGTTTTATGTTATACATCATGTAAAATTATAAATTCATCATCCTATTTTTATGCCATGCAAAGTGCAAACAAATTATAGTTTTTTCAAGCTACATTATGTACATCAACACATTAAATGCTGGTGGGCCTAGCACTTAGAGCCATTAGGGACATATTACCAGGCCACTCCTGGTTACTACAGGTGTTTTTTTTTGTCATATTTCAGGATGCATGTGAAACACTTCGTAAAAGACTGGAACCATTCAAAGCTGCAAATCCAAAAGGGAAATGGGCAGATTGGGTGAAGACAGCTTATTGCGAACGAGTCAGTCTCTCGGCTACTGGATTCTACAAGTATGGAATACTGTTGGATGATTTGTGAGACACTAAAACATATCAGTAGTCTCATTATTCCTTCAAATCCAGATTTTCAGTAGACCTAATATGGTATTTCTGAATTCTTCCAGGCAACTATGCCATAAGTGCTACTGTCCCGAAGTACCAGTAATAATCCTTCTACCTTATCTCATTTAAGAGTACATAATGTCAGTGGTTGAAACAGCATCATAAGACACAAGACATACAGACATAATTGTGATATACTACAGATTGAGTATTTGATATGTCACTGACCACATAGAAAACACCACATCCAGCAGTTCTTCTGTCATTGCATGTGTTTCATTGCTGCAGGAATGTATTTGCTAAGCCAATGCCTAGCAACAGATGTCTCTTCTGGCTTGTCTTGATTCATAAGATAGCACTGAGCATTTTCACCTCATCCCAACAGAAACTGCATTTTTTAAAATAAATAAAGTAGGCTAAAAATGGAATAGAACATGCTATTAGAACATCAGATGTGGTAGAAATATCACTGAATGACCATCTTTATATACAATAAGGATATATGTGTTTTTTTTTTTTCATGCAAATAAAATGTCACCACATAATTTTCTGGGTGTGAAAAGAGGGTGCAGAAAAATATATTTGCACCTAATAAGGGGAGAGAGTAACAGGAGGTGAATTTGTAATCTTCACTGCTTGTTATCAGGGTGATTAAATGGGTGAAAATGACTGGAAGATTTCTGTAAAGGAAGAACAATTCTATCAACATCAAATAAAATTTCAGTTTTGATAATTGTGTACATTATCTGTTATTGATAAAATCCCACATTCTAAATGATTAATTGATGATTAATTTAATGATACTGTTTCAACTGATTAAGTTGTGTAGCTTTGACACAGTCATATTAAATGACTTACCACATGTGATCTTTTAAGAAATATGACCCTTGACAAGGACACTTGTATGCATTGTGCTTTTCATGTCTACCCCATTAAACCATGTTTGCTATCTTTGAAGCACACTCAGCTTTCCCAGTAAAGTTTCAGAAGTAGGAGTCAATTTGATCTTTCTCTTTTGAAGTATTTTCCTTATTCAATGTATATCCTTTGGCTGAAATAAATTTCCAGCATAGAAAGGAAAGATCATAAAATTTGTTGTAATTGAATTCTAAGGGACCTGAATATTTATTCACTTCATACAGGTTTCCATTTATCACAGACATATTTGGGCTAAAAACAGATTTTTATTGTTTTGTGGGGTTTTATGTCTTTGTTGTTCGCCATTACTCCAATGACAACCCACTTCTTCGGAACAGTTTGTTGGTCCTGAAAAGGACCGTGGTTGCTGAGATGCTTGACCGGTGAGGTAGCGTGGCGCGCGCCGGTAGGGAGAGAGGTTAGTTGCAGTGAGTGGACTGGCCGCAGTGTGGCCATTGCTTGATCGCGGTGCGGCAGATGGTGGAGGTTGCTTGATCGCAGCGCGGCGGCTGCTGGTGAAAGGCTGGTCATTGAGCGCGGTCGTAGGAGTGATGAGGCAGTGACTACGCCAGATGCCCAGTGGGTCGGACAGGGACACGACCACCGGCGAGTCCAGACGAGGTGCCCCAGTGAGTCGGGTGTGAGAGAGCCAGAGGGCCGAGGCAGTCATGCCTGGTGCAGCCTGCCGATGCCTCTGTAGACCGAGCGCTGGAGATGAAGCCTGCTGGCTGATGTTGCTTGAGTGTGGCTTGATTGTAGACTGAAGTCAAACTGATGCCGCCTGTTTCAGGCTGCTCCTTTTTATACACTGCTTGGTGGGCAGAGCGAAACTTGAAATTGAGGAGGAAGAATTTGCAGGGCGCTGATTGGCTAGCGCGCGTGATGATGTAGATGCAGGGCTAGCAGCGAGCGCAGTATAAATGCGAATGTTTGGAGCAATTTGATTGGTTAGCGCGCGTGATGGTGCAAAGTGATGTGAAGAGTGTGCGTTGCAGAAAATGCGTGATAATGTGGGATGTTCCCACAGTTTCTTTCTTTTAAATTTTCTTCCTTTTGCCTTTCTCTCTCTCTCTCTCTCTGCTTTGGTCTTCTTTCCTTCTCTGTTTCCTCCACTATTTATTTTTTTATTCTGTTAGAATATTGTTTTTATATTTTGAACTCTATCAGGCTTCATTCTCTTCCATTTCAGACAGGAAGGTTCCTTCAGATATAAATGTTACTAAACACAATAAAGATAATTACATAAACAGAGAAAAATATATATTGAAATATAAATGTCTATTAAAAAGGTAAAGCTATCCCTGTAAAAGGACATGAAGACCCATAGGGTTGTGAGACGTTGAGGCTTCCACATTTTCTAGGCAATCAGCTCACAGATGGCAGTAAGTCTGTCAGCCTTATGCACTGGCCACCCTTTACTCCCCAGGAAGATTTCTGCTACTCATTTCTGTCGGAAGGTGAGTCAACCCCAGGGCCATAGTGTGGCTGGAAGGATTAGGTCAGTTGAAAAAATCCACTGCATCAGGACTCAAACCTGCTACCTTCCAGCTTGTAGCATAGTGCCTCAACCAACTACGCTACTGCGTACCCCCATACATTTCTATTACCTTCCCTTTTTCCATTTCCATGATGGACTGTTCCCATTTATTAATAGTAATTTTCGTTAGTTTTCACTTTGTTTTGTAGGAATAGTGAAATTTTCGAACAAGAGCAGTATGTTATGTGTTCCATATTACAATTTATACAAATCTCACTGTACTGTTTAGTTTAACAACTAGGATAAACATTGATTCTCAGTTAATCTTTTTCAGAACACCAGGCATTGGATATGACATATCAAAAAATGAAGGCAAGCCTTTCAAATACTTCACGTATGGTGCAGCATGTTCAGAAGTGGAGATAGACTGCCTGACTGGTGATCATCAGGTAATTTTACAGCTGGCCACAAAGTATATCACGATTTGTCTTTATAAGTTTTATTAGATAAGGTTGCAGCATGTGTAAGATAAAGTATCATATTGTCACATGGTAGACTGTCTATAGACAAAGTTTCGATTAGCAATAGGATTTATTGAGCTCTTATAGAACATAACTACAACTATATCACTGTTACTAATTCACACCATTCAGTTTACTAGAGTGTGCACTAAGTCTTCTCAGTTTGCTGTCTCCACCAGTTGTTGTATTGTATTGTATTATATTTTATTTCCTCCGTTTTGCTACGTAGTAACACTTGGACATGCCCACACCATAGCTCAAGCAGTTAGTTACTGGCTTCCCACCGTGGCAGCCCAGGTTCGATCCTGCATCTGGTCAAGTGGGATTTGTGGTGGACAAAGTGGCGCTGGGGCAGGTTTTCTCAAAGTATGTCGGTTTCCCCTGCCAATCTTCATTCCACCAATTGCTCCACAATCACCCTCACCTATCATCTGGAGCTGGTACAATAGGCCAGAAGTGGCTGCAGTACAAGGGACTTAGTCCCACCCCACTAGCAACACTTGGACACGTCATTCAGTAATACAAGTTGTCTGGTAATGGCTTCCAGTGGCAGACGCTTCCCTTACTCTGGGTTCCTGAACTATCCCTGTCTCAGATAGCAGTTTCTAATAGCAACAGCTCACAAGGACTGAACCACAGTATTCCTCTAACTCAACTCACTCACCATCCAACTCGCTGCACTAACTGAATTGAACTTAGCTGGTCACATGGTATAGCCTCGGAACGGACCACATAGAAAACACCACTTCCAACAGTACCTAAATTGTTGTGCATGAGCCACTGTCTAAGAGCGAGTCCAGTACTGTTGTGTATTTATGAAGCTGTTGCTTAGCAATGGCTGGTGTCTCATTGTTTGTTTCACGGTCGTTTCCTAGTAATATATATCACAATATAGTTGAGCATGCTTAAGAAGTTTTCTAAGGGACCAAGAAATTTTATCTTGTGTGGGAAAGAGAGTGTTTTCTGAACAATGTTTTCAATATAAATACAGTTACCTCCAAGTTAAAATCTGGACACTAGCTCCATAGTAGCAGTAGGTTTAAGTACCCTATTCTCCAAGTGATAAATGTTGCATGGTTGCAAGATAAGCCAATATATATAGATACCAGATAAGTTCTATTGTGTCAAATGTACTTAAGATTCTTATGGGGAAATATATGAGACCAAATAATTTGAAAGTCTTGGGCAGAAAAGCATCTGAAATGGGAAACTGTTGGGGGGGGTTCCCCTGTAACTTAAGAGGTTAAAGACCTTAGTGTTCACAATTACACTGATCCATTATATTCATTCTTATCTCATTCACTGCCATACTTATATCATGTTAAAGAAGATAGTATGAAGTAAATAAAGAATATATAAAAATGATAATAAAATATAAGGTTCTTTTTTTGTTGTGTAGGGTTTTTACAAGTTCCTTCCCTTTTTTCTTTCTTTCATTCTTTTTTATTCCCTTGCTGTCTTTCTTTCTCTGTTTCTTTGTTTCTTTCTGCATTTGCTTGTTTCTTGCGCTCTTTATTACCTTTCTTTTATTTGTTTAAAGATACCTGCTGTTCTTGCTGAGGACTTGTAGTTTTCTTCAGTCCCTTTGAGTAAAGTTGGAGTATTACATTAACTGGTCCTTTCCAAAATGATTTCAAATTTATTGTTTCATAATCGTTATTTCTGCATCCACATTATGCTGTACATCTTAGTCAATCTGACACAGCATTGCTAAGAAATCTAGAAAACAAATAAAACAGTTCCACCACAGTTTGAGGTGCAGATGTGTTACATATATGACTGCAGGTACTAAGGACTGATATTGTGATGGACCTTGGAGACAGCCTGAACCCAGCCATTGATGTGGGCCAGATAGAAGGAGGATTCATGCAAGGATATGGTCTCTTCACACTGGAAGAAATGGTGTACTCACCTACTGGCACAATCTATGCACGAGGACCTGGTGTTTACAAGATACCAGGCTTTGCAGACATACCCACAGAATTTAATGTTTCATTACTGAAAGGGGCACCAAATAAGCATGCTGTATATTCCTCCAAGGTATGTATTCAGTCTGAAAGATGCTGAGAAATGAGAAGTTGTAGGGCTTTCTTTATGTTGTCCTTATTTGATTTTATTAAATTTTGTAATAATTTGCAAATATTTGAAAACAAAATGCAGATAAAAATTTATATGACAAAAATAGAAAGTGAATTTAATTGAAAATGGATGATATTAAACAGTGAGGAACCTTGTCATATCATGATGTCTAATGCATCACTTTGCTCTAGATCCTTAAGCTCATCTATCTATAGAGAAACAAATACACTATAATCTCTCAAATTGGGCATGGTACAAAAATCGGTTCCCTTGATTGCTGTGTCAGTAACAGGAAGAGAAAATTGTTTTCCTTCAGTGGTTGTTTCATGAATAAATATTAGGGAAATGGATTATGAGGATATGAACTTGATTAAACCAGCTCAGGATCTTGCCCAATAGAAGATTTTGTACCGCCATCTTTGAGCTGATTGTCTAGATACTGTTGGACCCTCAACATCTCACAACCCTATTGGTCTCGATGGCCTGGTACAGGGACAGCTTTACTTATGGTTACTTTCTTAGTTTAGTTTAGTTTTTTCTTTTTATTTTGTCGGTCTGTTGGTCCATCAGTCCATCGGTTGGTCAGTTGGTTAGTTAGTAAGTAAGTTAGTTGTTTAGTCAGTGAGTGACTGAGTCAGTTAGGTAAGTATGTAGTCCATTTGCTGGAAAAGTAAAGAAACCACTATGAGAGATAAGTAATACATAAATGCTGCTGAAGTCTGTTCATTGAGGGTATGGTCTCCAGACAAAAGGATGTTCTACATATTTGTTCCATAATTTTCTGATAATCTTCCCAGAATTAGCTTTTCATTTTTTCCTTCTCATGAATAGTGTATAAAACACAAGAACTGAACACATACAGTGGAGGTCAAACTCTTATGCTTCATTCCAACGATAATGAATGATGGTGATTATATCTGCTGTGTGGGTTTATGCCAGACTTTATCTGGCATATTGATTTATACTGGTCTAATTTAACATGTACTTCATATAAAGCTCAAATCTGACTTTAAAGATTCTCTCAACATCAGTTCACCATACAGAGTATTGGTATGTGGTGTAAAATATAGATACCATTAAGAATTGTCATTATCCCTGCAATGAGATTTCTATGTGTAGAAAATTAATATCAAGGCCAGTGAGGTATACAAGGTATCAAAGATCATGCTTTAAAATATCTGTACACCATTTTTTTCATTCTTGCTTTATTTAGGCTGTTGGTGAACCACCACTGTTTCTGGCTTCTTCAGTCTTCTTTGCAATCAAAGAAGCCATCACAGATGCCAGAGCAGAGAGAGGACTGAAGGGAACATTTAAACTTGATGCCCCAGCTACAGCAGCTCGTATCCGGATGGCTTGTGAGGATGAGATCACTGATAAGGTAAATACATAATGCAACGCACTGAGGATTTGCTATCTGGCTCCTTCCTAATTTTCAGAAGAACAGCGTTTCATAAGAATCCTGACTTCAAAACCAAGAAATATATTGTCACGTGATAGAGTGACTATAGACTGTGCTTGAATTGATGACTGAATTTATTGGACTCCTTTTTTATAGTGCATGACTACACTTTACATTTCACTATTGCACACACACTATGATCCACTGTCATGTCTTCACTGCCATTGCTTGGAAGGGGCTTCCAACAGTGGATGTTCCCCTTCCTTTAAGTTCCTGATATGTCCCTGGCCTCAGTTACCAGCTTCTAACAGCAGCAGCTCATAACAACTGAACTACTGCTGTTCTTTAACTGACTGCAACAGGTAATTGGTCCTGTTTATACAATCTCAGCATGGACCACATAGAGAACACTGCTTCCCGCTATTATGTAATTGCTGCATTCGCGTCTGTTGGGGTGACCACCTGATCGCTACTGAGACATTGCCTAGCAACAGCCGTTGTTTGTAGAGCCATTCCCTAGCAACGGCTGCCTCTGCTGGCTTCACAAATCTGCCTTCAGCAACTATGCCACCGTGCTCCCTCCTTAAGGTTGTTCATCCTGAATAACCTACAGGCCTACCACAATATCTTCTTTTCTGAGGGCTGTCTTTGTGATGTCTGTGATCAGCCTCACCTTCCTTCCCTGTGGCTTTGTTCTCATGATGATTACACTCCAGCTGCTCCGCTGCTCGTGCCTTAAGTCCGCTCTTATCACAAGCAGTTTCCTGATAAGATGGGAGCCAGTCAAACTGTACCAGCATCATCCTAGATCTATGGTTCTGCTGGATCCTGTACACCACATGGTTGGCTTGGGTGACTTTTCTTTCTTGCAGGTAGACCGATAGAGCCACATGTTATCACCTTCATGGTGGCCTGTGCAGTTGGCCATTCTGCCATAATGAATTTTCAACCGGTCACTGGCCAGCTTCAGATGTTGAGGGGCATAATTGTGAATGTGGTGTAGCTAGTCCACTCAATTTTTCACAAGATCAATTGTGGGGCATTCCTTATCAGAGGGGTGCCCCAAACAGCAGGTCACAGGGCAGTTGGAGTTCATTTCCAAACACTAGGCTAGCTGGGATTGTTCTTTTCTCAGACCAGTTGGATTCCAACCATGTGCCATACCTGCTTGACATCTGCCAGTGCCTCATCTTTGTGGCATTGGGTACACTCTTCTTGGCATGGTTATCTTGAAAGGGCATCAGCATTATTGTGTTCTTGGCCTTGACAATACTCAGAAGTGAAATTGTACTCTTTAGGTGTTGAATCCCGTGAACAGTTCATCTTTCAAGGTTCTTAAAACTTATGAGCCAGGTGAACGCAGAGTGATTCATACGCATGTGGAACTGTAGAGGTACTCACGGAAATGTTCCAGCATCCTCTCAATGGCCAGTAGTCACCACTGGGAGATGCAGTAATTTCTCTCAGCTTTATTCAGTGTCCTACTGTAGTATGCTATTACTCACTCTTGTCCGTTCTGTACTTGCGACAGCACTCTGCCAGTCCCTAGAGTTCTTGTGTCTATGTCAATGATGAACCTCTCTCTTACCTGCAGGTAAGCAATAATAGTGGTAGTACAGAGGACCTCATTTGCTGTTTGAAAGGAGGCCTCCACTTCTGGAGTCCTCTGGAAGGCTTGCTTCTCCTCAATGAGTTTGGTCAGTCATTTCGCAATGTTGGTGAAACCAGAAATAAACCATCTGTAATAAGTGCATAGACCAAAGAAGTTTCTTCCATTAAGAGTGATAAATTATGGATTCTTACCCAATACTGAATTTGTTTATGCACACTTGCTTTAATGTTTCCTTCATATGAGAAAATAATTTGTGTGCATTTGAATTTGAATTTTCAGTTTCCTGAACCAGATCCAAGCACGTTCACACCGTGGAATGTAGTGCCTTGATCTTGTTAGTTGGGTACTACTGCATTGAAATTTGAAGTCATAAAAGGAAAGATGAGAAGAACATAGTGATATGATATTATCTGAAAATCAACATAATCCCTTTTTAGTAACTGATCACTTTTTCCTTGAGTTATTTAAGATGTCATGGATAAAGAAGACCTTGGTGTGGGGAGTTCTGGAACCTGTAATGTTTTCCAATCTAAACTTTTATGATTCACATAGCAGTAGGTGAGCAGTTGATTTTCCAAAGTCTGTTATTTGGTCTGGCTTGCATTGTGGAGTAGAAATAGTTGTCTATATATCTGTACTACAAACACATTCATATATATTTATTACAATATAGAAATCGTTTGCATTTATGACTTCAAAATTGATTAAAAGTGAAGAGATAACATAATTACCAAAGTTGAGCATTCACATTTTAAAGTTATGCACAAAGTTACAACAGATAATTTGTGTTGTCAGATAGCTCACACTACCAGTAACCGGTCTAAGTGCATGGGGAAACCCACCCCCTCAATACAGAATACAGAATAGCTCACACTAGCAAAATGGCATATAGCAGAAAGCAAAGTGATCATAATTGACATATCTAGAGTAATCTCGGTAGTAAAATAATAATGTTCAATACAGACTACCAGTAGTTGATGAAAGGAAGTGAAAACAGAAACGACTGCCATCTGTAAATGAGTAAGTATTCCAGCTCTGATAAAATGTATATACAATGTAACACAGAATATATAGACTGGCATAACTGAAGTTGTGGATTTAAGTGAGTCATGAACTGCCATTTGGAAAACAATATCATGGGTTCCATTATTCCCTTCCCCCAAATCTTGCTTACCTATGGTTAAATGGCAGATTCATTGTAAGCTGTTACAAATGTCTCCTGTAATTGGGAAAGTGTGTTGATCATACAATGCATTCCAATAATATACAGTGAAGGTGTTGTTACAGAACTTAACTCAATAAACATATTTGTTTTGCATGTTGTCTTGTTGGTAACATGTATGACATGTATGCTGATGTCTTGGTTTAGATATCAGCTGCCCTCTGCAGTTCAGAGTACATAAACCATCCTCTCATCTTATTACATTTGCAGCTGATACAGAACTTAAATAACATATGAACCCCTCACTGCTGTGAAACTGACTGCACTTGTTTTTGGGTACAGATTCCTTCTGCTTAACTTAAATGTAGTACTTACTTACTTACTTACTCACTCACTCATGGAGCTGAGCCCTTCTGGAGGAGCTGCCAATTCTGCAGCTACTCAAGAATTTCCCAGCATTTTATGGAACCCGAAGGTTCATTACCATGTTCACAAGAGCCCTCCACTGGTCCAACTTAAATGTAGTAACAACTGAAAGTAATCTGAGTCATCCTGCTTCATGATTGCATTTTTGAAGAACAAGAAACAACTCAAGACAACAGTACCAGTGGCCCAAATTCATGGACTTACAATAAATGTGACAAAGCTGAAATCTCTATGTATGTAAATACTGCTTAGATACAAGACCTTCACATAAAATGTACATTGGGAGGCGGGGGGTTATGGTTCCACACCAGAATTTTTGTAGTGGAATCATAACGGAATTCAGATACTCATCTGTGGTACTGAAGTTAAGTGCTCTAACACATACACACGCACACACTCCCTGACAAGCATATAAGTGCATGCATGTATGTAAACACTAGCATTCAGAAAAATGAAGGAAAAAATATAGCATGTAGCAGAATGTCTAAGTTTAAATGGAAAAACTCTTCTAAAAACAGATGAGCTGAACTTGGTTCTTGAATGCACGTCATATCTGTGTTGTAGATGGTTCTATATATTTGACTTCTGTGATAATAGAAATAAGTTAAAACTGAAGATGAAAAAGGAAAAACGTTAAGAAATAGTTTGTGTGTGGGAAGAGGAAATAAAAAAATATGAGGAACAAAGATCAGCAATATATTATAAATAGAAGAAAGCAGTCTTCTGGGATTTGGCACCGTGTNATATAAAATAAGTTTATAAAATTTTATATATATAAAATGTATATATGGTTTATTAAATTTCTAACATTTATTAGAAACATATTAACCAGTACCCTGTAGTTAATTAATAATTTATATACAAAGTTCCACACCACCAATGGTGTCTTCACCTTATCGTAGTGGTGGGTGTGAGTGCTCCTGAGAGCTATGCTGGCGGTAATGTAGTGACTGGTAGAGTCACCCATGCCAGACAGGTGAAAGGGTAGGAGCCAGACAAAGAGGGATAAACTGGTCCTCCAGGTTGGGGGTTGGGTGTGACCATGAAAACTAAATTGTTCAGAAACCAGACAGTCAGCCTTGGATGGATGGATTGAATGGAAATCGACATCAGTGAAGGAGCTGAGATGGTTGGAGGATGTGCATGATGATCTCTGTAAAATGAAAGTGAAAGGATGGGGAGGAAAGAAGAATATCAGAGAAGAATGGAGGCAGATTGCTGTAGTGCTGAGGGGAAGGAAGGATGGAAGGATGCATACAGAGTTCCATAAAGTAGAAGTCATAGAGTCATGGTCTCCTAGTATTTTTTTTTTTTTAATTTTAATTTAAAATGTTCACTTTTCGAATTTCCAAGCAACGTGCATTCACTCTACAAAGGTTGCTAGAAAACAATACATGGGACCAAGAGATCTTGGCATGTAATTTTAAAATCCTATTCTTTCATTTTAAGTGTAAAATTAACAGATACAGTCACCATATTTTGGTCTGTGTAATATGAAATTTAGAATACTACCTCTACTCCCCCATATGCCTTTATGGCATTGTGCTTATCTAGTGATGGACTGGGGCAAATTTACCTTCCTGTAAAATAGACCTCCAGTTATCCACGTGCAGATTGTTTGCTTTGTGGATTTGCTGTGGGTCTTATATCCTCGGTTACTGGTCATAGCTTCCCATCTGATTTATATGTAAGCCCATTATATCTGTTTCAGCAATATGTATTAATGATACTTTACAATTCACAATAAACTAGCATTGAGATACCAAAAGCCTCTCCAAGCAAAGTCAGGCAAAAATGGGACAGTGGATAAATAACATAACTCCCCTTCTCTGGACCTTTCTGATCAACATTTCAGATCATCCAAGGTTTAGGAAAATAGGTAAAAAAAGTAAAGCTATCCCTGTAACAGGCCGTGAAGGCCCATAGGGTTGTGAGACGTTGAGGATCCTACACTATCTAGACAATCGGCTCAACGATGGCGGTAAGGTTGTCAGCCTTACGCGCCGGCTGCGCTTTACTCCCCAGGTAAATTGTTAAATTAATTCCTGGTACTCATTTCTGTTAGAGGCTGAGTAAACCCCAGGGCCTAGTGCGGCTGGTAGGGTTAGGTCAATTGAAAAAATCAAATAACCTCATCAGGACTTGAACCCGTGACCTTCTGGCTTGTAGCATAGCCCCTCAACCAACTATGCTACTGGCAGTTCTTAGCTGCCAGTAGCAGGGCCAGCAAGACTTAAGTGATTTTCAGGTTTGATTGATGCGTGGATAGTGGATATGTCCACAAATATGACTGTACTGGTGAAGACCAGCCGCAATTGTAAAAGACAGACCTATCCTCTCGAGAGAAAGGCACCCAACATTAATATATCTGCAACTGTTTGAGAGTGACAAAATCTTGTCTTGGGTCCCAGATGCAACTTGACACCAAGACAGACTACCTGACTGACCATTGGTTGTAACATAACTTTGACTTTTGAGTTGTAAGGGCTCCACAAATCTGCATTGACAGAAACTTTCTGTATATCTTGTATAAATGTTACTTAGTGCAGTAACAAAAGATGCACAGAGTCCGTGACAGTGTGTACATGCCCTGCTGATACGATGGTGCAACAAATGTAGCGCCTGTATAGAAAGATTGACTCCTTTGTCAAAACACATACATGTCTAGGAGAGAATAAACCCCTTGGTCACGGATTCGAGAAGACTGAAGCGAGGATTGACTGTGCTATCGAAATTGTAAGGGTGTGATGAATAGCCCTTGGTAGAAGACAGTAACCAGGCAATGACTTGGGGGGGGGGGGGTAACAAGCTCAGAAGACTAATGTGGGTTTTAGTGATTTGTGCAGCATTGTACTTATAATTCCGATTTGTAAATGTGCAATAAATTGGATTACCAATCCGAACCCCATCTATAATCACTTAACACTTGACAGTATCATCATTGATCTCGGTGAAATAGGGTGGAGGTATGGACTGGATTCATCTGGCCCAAAACAAGCACCAGTGGCAAGCTCTTGTGGTGTCAGTAATGGATATTCAGGATTCATAAATGCTGGGAATTTTTTACGTAGGTGAGAAATTACTAGCTTTTCAAATACGGTCCACCTCCATGGAATTATGGTATGTGATGACCATGCACATTGACACATGCAGTACAACGGGTTTGCATACTCTGGATGAGGTTTTCGAGCAGCTGTTGGGGTATGGCCTCCAATTCTTGCACCAGTGCCCACCGGAGTTCCTGAAGAGTCATGCGAGGTGGAAGATGTGCACCAACACATCGACTGAGAGCATTGTGCATTGTCATCCATCAGTAGGAACGTGGGACCCACTGCACCCCTGAAAAGGCAGACATAGTATTGCAGAATGACATCCCGGTACACCTGACCTGTTACAATTCCTCTGTCGAAGACGCGCAGGGGTGTACATGAACCCATGATAATGCCGCCCCACACCATAATACCACCACCTCCATACTGGTCCCTTTCAAGGATGTTAGTGGGTAGGTATCTGGTTCCTGGTTCAAGCCAGATCATTACATGACTAGAAACACTGTTGAGACTATACCCGGACTCGTCAGTGAAGAGAACCTGGGACCACTGTTCCATTGTCCATGTATTGTGTTCCCTACACCAGGCGTTACGGGCTCCTCTGTGGGCATTGGTCAGTGGAATGCAAATTGCAGGCCTCCGGCCTAATAAACCATGTCTGTTGAGTCGTCTGTACACAATGTGATGGAAACAACTGTTCTAGTGGCAGCGGCAAGGTCCCGAGCAAGGCCCCCTGTAGTACTCCGTCGGGGTCTTCAGGCATTTATGCTGAGATACCTGTCTTCTCGTGGTATTGTACATTGTGGACGTCCTCTGCTGTAGCGCCGGGACACGTTTCCTGACTGGTGGAATCGTCATAATCGTGAGATGACACTTTTTGGCACACGGAGCTCCCATGACATGCCCTGCTGTGTTTGGCCAGCCTCTAATCGCCCTATTATCCTACCCCTCATTACATCATCAATAAGTGTTCGTTGAGCCATTTCCGACACACAATCACCATTAGCAAGTCCGAAATCAACTGCACACTTCTTCTCGCCACCTTACTCTGGACCCTCTAGACCCGCACAAGCTTTTATTAAAATCCACAAGGGATTATGGATTATTGAAGAAATAAATTTTCTGTGGTGTTGGTGGTCTATGGGTAAGACACTGGCGTAGTGTGGAGAAGTTTCGAGGTTCGGAACCAACGAAAATTTTATAAAATACAAATGGAGTTAGTAAGATTTTCTGTAATTATAACAAAAGATGTAACATAAGAGGAAGATTAAAGAAAATAACTTTCTGTGGTGTTGGTGGTCTAGGGATAAGACATCATCCTAGTGTTCAGAAGGTCCCTGGTTCAAAACCAGTAGGATTTTTGTGAAAGAAATGAAAAGAAGAAATTAGTGAAGAAAGCCAACAGCAGAGCAAGAAGTGAAGAGGGAGGGACCAGGGGAGGGAAGATTTTTGCGGCCGCTCATTAAAACACTCGCCTAAGCTTTTATTAAAATCTCCGCCTGCAGCCTCCCACCCTTAGGGGGTCACTTCAAGTTATTCACTTGAGAAATTCGGTGAGAGTTAACAAGAAAATTTAAAATAACTGTAGCGCCATCTGTAGACTAAAACCTCGTGAAAAGCCAAGAAGTGAAGTCAAAAGTGTAGTATCTTAGTTTCTTATTATCTCCCTTGTTGGGCTGTGCAAACCGATCCTCTGAAGAATTAATTTTATGGTATAGGGCAGGAGGTACTGGGGATGGAGATTATGAAAGCGTGGACCCCACCTTCACCCGCCCTTGGGATCACGCAGAAAGTCAATAACTTGAGGCCAAGTTAAGTCAGCGACAGTTAACAAGAAAATATGAAATAAAACTGTAGCGCCATCTGTTGAACATTACTCCATCTGTGGACACTAAGGGCGGGTGAGGGTGCTGTCCCACGCTTTCATTGTATTCATCCCGAGTACCTCTTGCCCTACCCTACAAAAATAATTCTTCAGAGGACGCTTCCATAGTATTCATCCCCAGTACCTCCTGCCCTACCCTATAAAATGAATTCTTCGGAGGAGAGGTTTGCACCTCTAGACACTCTAGATCCTCTAGATCCTTTAGATGCTCTAGACAGTCGCAGTGGTCACAGTCACAGCAAGCTGTTTGTTACTGTACCGGAACGCGATTTCAAGCCGAAACATGCACACAAATGTTTTGTTTGTACACGGGTCAGCATTATCCTTAATTTATGACCACGAGTGTAATGAACTGTAGTAATTGAGCATCTTTGACCAAAGAGACGCTTATTAATCAACGTGCGTTTCTGCCAGACAGAGCTTCCATTTCGCGCTAAATCGGCTTCGTTGCTTGTGGCAGGTGTTTCGTGCTCTTGGCCGTGAAGTTATTTTCTATTGGCGTATTTTAAGCGGCCTAGTTTGCGTGCCTGGACGAGTTCTGTTATGTATGGTGTTGAGTCAGATATGTGTCTCTATTTATATATTGATTTAAAATGAAATTGTAACGAGTGAGTGGTAATATTGACTACATATGTCTCATCTTTATGTTGCTATACTAAACTGGTGGATATAAGAGTATGTTAATATTCATTCATTCAGTTTTATTTTATCCTGTAGATCAAAATACATTGATTTAGGACAGGAACAACAATATCATTTTCGAAATACATTAATGATTATGGTATACACTTATTAAAATGTCGCTTATTATATACATCGTCTTATCAGTAGCCAATATTACAGAATTCATAATCAGCTGTTGAATAATAGCATCCCTTAATAAGTAAGTCCTTCAGTTACTTTTTAAACTTGTTACCAATTCATTTTATGTTAGGCAATTTTTTATGGAAGAGTAATGTGCTGCTGATGGTTTACTGTTATGAAAGTTCAAAATTATGTACATAACTGTGATAGCCATTATTTTTTGTGTTATATGTATGTACTCTTTACAGTCACACTTCTCTTTTACATATAAGACTGTTTCTTGAATGTATATGAGTATACTGTTAATGTCTTTAGTTACCTCAACCTGTCTGTACGTGATTCCAGTTGTTTTAACCCTGCCATGGACCTTATAGCCATTTTTCTGAAGGGTAAATATTCATATTCCATAGCCAGAAGGGGATAAATCAAACCATAATACAGCAGTCTTCTTACATTCATATCAAGTATTTTAGATAGTCTATTAATAATAAATAAGTTATGGCTAATTCTACTAAAGGTTCTATAAATATGTACTTCATAGTTCTATGTTCTGTTTGTGTTCTATATATGTTCTATATCTGATGGATTTGGTAGCCAGTAAGGATCTATGGAAATGAAAATAAAGATACAAGATAGCTCAGGTTAGTGTCAGTTATAACCCCAAGGAAATCTATACTTTTTACATTAACTATTTCCCTATTCTTTAGTAGGATTTTTAATGAACTTTCCCAAAAGCAAATGTAGAAAAGACTAAATTTGACAAATGAAGTTTCTGTAGGCATATTTAAAACAGCTCTGTGATCAATAAATCTAAAATTGTGATTTGTTATTGTATTCAAATGTAGCTATGCGTTAATTCAAGTTCTGGGACCTTGTATATACTTTTACACATCTTATGTATGAACAGAAGAACCTGAAGGACATGTTTCATTTATGGTTGTTTCTTTCAGGACTACAATGTACTGGACAGTTCATTTAGAAGGAGGACCAAGACGAGTGAATCATGCAGCTGTCGTGGTGGAGGATAAAATTTATTCTTTTGGAGGGTACTGTACAGGAGACAATTATAGCAAACGTCGACCAATGGATGTCCATGTGCTCAACACGTCAAATTTCCGCTGGACTGCACTTCCTTTGCCAAGACAAAGTGACCCACAGTCAAGTTGTGTTCCCTTTCAGAGATATGGCCATACAGCTGTATCATATGGGGATAAAATTTTTGTGTGGGGTGGTAGGAATGATATAGGAGCTTGTAATGTCCTCTTCTGTTTTGACACAAGTAAGTTATTGTAATTGGTCATAGAATGGTGATTAGTTTTGCACCAGGGCACAATTTCAGTTATCAGAATGCATTTTTCTTTCTGTAGATACACTTCAGTGGAGTTGCCCAGAAGTGACTGGAATGATTCCAGGAGCTCGGGATGGTCACTCAGCATGTATTATCAACCACTGCATGTTTGTGTTTGGTGGTTTTGAAGAGCAGATTGACAGGTTTTCACAAGATGTTCATACTTTAGATCTTCGTACAATGCATTGGAGTTACATTATTACTCAGGTAAGGCTTCATATTTGCATTTGTTGGTGGGCCTGATCTTGTAAGCTTGAAGTTATATTGGATCAGAAAAACGTATCAGGTTATGAAATTCTTGTGATAAATTTTTAACACATAAATTTAAGCTGACACTTGTATTTTGTAATGTCTTGTGATTCGCTTCACTGTTTTCAGTTGTTCATATAACCATATAGCAAAATTAGTTAGTCTAGTATATCTGCTGTTGTTATGGATATTGTATTGTATCATGTATTGCAATAAAGGCCCAGAGGATCAGTTAATTGAAGGCTAAATGTAGCATAACAAAGTGCTGCCATCTTACATCAGAAAAATAAATGCATGTCATCACTACTACATAATCCCAAACTCTGGCAATAGTATAGCATAATGAAAATTAGTTTGAAGTATCACATAGTCCCAGATAGCTGTGGCCTATTCTAAGTAAGAATTCTGTATAATATTTCCATGCCTCACACTGCTAGCCACTACTCCGCCTCTTACTTAAGAACAGCTGTATATCATATTCAGTATTTTATGATGGAAACTTTTCTCTGTTGAGTTTTTCTCAAAATCTTTCTTCCAAGTGTTTTTAAATTTACAGGTGTCCTTCTACTAACATGACTAATTTTTTACTTGATCTCTGTTGAAACGCAGTGTTTATTACCTGTTAGTTATTAGTCATCAGGGGCGTGCAGCAGCGTAGTTGGTTGAGGGGCTATGCTACAAGCCAGAAGGTCGTGGGTTCAAGTCCCGATGAGGTCATTGGATTTTTCAGTTGACCTAATCCTTCCAGCCGCACTAGGCCCTGGGGTTTATTCAGCCTCTAACAGAAATGAGTACCAGGGATTAATTAAATAATTTTCCTGTGGAGTAAAGTGTGGCGGGCGCGTAAGGCTGACAACCTTGCCTCCATCTTTGAGCCGATTGAGGTCATTGGATTTTTTCAGTTGACCTACTCCTTCCAGCCGCACTAGGCCCTGGGGTTTACTCAGCCTCTAACAGAAATGAGTACCAGGAATTAATTAAATAATTTTCCTGGGGAGTAAAGTGTGGCGGGCGTGTAAGGCTGATAACCTTACCTCCATCTTTGAGCCGATTGAGGTCATTGGATTTTTTCAGTTGACCTACTCCTTCCAGCCGCACTAGGCCCTGGGGTTTACTCAGCCTCTAACAGAAATGAGTACCAGGAATTAATTAAATAATTTTCCTGGGGAGTAAAGTGTGGCGGGCGCGTAAGGCTGATAACCTTACCTCCATCTTTGAGCCGATTTTCTAGACAGTATGGGACCCTCAGTGTCTCACAACCCTATGGGCCTTCACGGCCTGTTAGAGGGATAGCTTTACTTACTTAGTTATTAGTCATCTCACATGCAACTTGCTTTTTAAAACCTTTAAAAGTTTTAAACGTTAAAATCTCTTCTACATCACTGATGTGTGCACACTACATGTTTTGGCAAACGTTCATCATCTTCAGGTATCATTAAAATTGCTGATAATACAGCTGTGCTTCCATCCATAAGTTCAATTTTTTGGATATGTCCTTGTCTATGTGTCCATGTGTCCCATGAGGAAGAGTACTTTCTCTTATTGTGTCATATGTAGCTGTTACGAATGTTTTAAAAAGCAAGTTGCATATGAGACAGCTAATAAATAAGTGATGTGCAAGAGGATGCTAAGATACGGTATTAGTGTTTATTAGCTCAGTAATGCCTGTAAAGTGCCTGTGGCTACTCTGGGTTAGGGGAATTATTTGGGTTATAAGTAGTTGAATTATGCTGAAGAAAACTGGAACAGAGCTGCTGGAAGAAAGTCTTAGTTCATGGAAAAAGTAGCGAGAGATTGAAGTTACTTAACATGTGTGAAAACATTGCATCCAGTTGATCTTACAAAGCACCAAAGAGCTGAAATGTGAAGGGTTTGAAAAACAGTTAGTTTACTACATTCAGAGAATTCAGAGCAGGCCCAAAGATGCAATTTGGGTCCATGCCTGCAGTTCAGGTTAATATAATGTTCCACCATGTAATTAAGTTGACAAGAAACAGTGGCAGCATTATATAGCTTATGGTTGGCTGCGCCATAGCTCAAGCGGTTAGTCGCTAGCGTCCCACCGCGGTGGCCTGGGTTCCAGGTCTGGT